AACGAGTGAGTGATTTGGTGGAAGAGGCTCGAGGCTAGAGGCGTGAGACTTGAGACTTTGAAGAGTCGGATCTCAGATTTGCGATTGAGAACCGTGCGAGGGGTGGTTGCTTGTCGTTCTGTTAGGAGTGGTGGTTGATCGGCCCAAAGCTCTGGCGGTGGTCTTTCAGGCAAGGCAGTCGACCGTCAGTAGCGGTGTATCATAGCATAGCATAGCATAGCTGATCCGCACTCACTTGTACTACGACATAGAGATTAGAAAGGGGAGAAAGAAAGAAGATACACTACCTACCTACATACAACAGGTTCATGCCTGTCCGCGGTACCTACTTAGTACCTACCGAGTACATACATACTTTGTATTCGATTAAATCCACACGTTCCACAGCAATGCGGCACCCCGGCTGATCTACATAATTACTGCTGATCATGTCCTGATCTGACCTATACATCATGTGTACCGAGTACATACACGCGTACCTACGTACCTACTTACTTTTCCATGCCTTGAACGTGTCCTCGGTGTCTACTACGGAGTCAAGGGGAGTACATACATACATACATACATGCATGTGGGGGCCACGATGATCGCTTCGTCATCTCGTCGTCATCCCGTTCATGCATGCATGCATGCATCCATATCCTCAATTGATCCCTCCTCCGCCATTTCCCAAGTGTCCGCCCTTCCGCCGTTACTTGGAAAGTTCCGTTCCGGGATAATAAAAGGCCACGAGGCCACGAGGAGGAGGCTCCCAAGGGTACAAAGGCTGATGATGATGATCACCACTCCCCACCCACCCGCTATTGCTTGCCCTCGAATTCAATCAAATATATAGATGTAGATGGACATTATAGTAAACGCAGACAACAACAGGGTCATTTGGTTGGTACATGAATTCCTCCTATTATACGACCCCTGCTAATGATCCCATCTGTCCGTCCTGTGAGGTCCAAGTCTCCTCATCAGTCAGACTCGAAAGACTTCTCCTCACAACTGTCCCTACTTCTTCTTCTCCCTGTCTTTACTCCCCCCAGCCCTGGCAATCCCGCTCGCAAATTTCCCAAACCCCCCTGCCAGACTATGACCTCGTTTATGCGGTCCAACTCGATCGTCTCCGGCGCCCACCGTCCTAGCACCAGGGCCGCCGACACCTGTTATTGCCAGCCCAGTTGCTGGCTTGACCAGCCCTGATCCGGTGCCAGTTGCGCCGACACCACTCAAAGGTCGTCCACCGTGCAGTTTATGTCCGCTTCGAAATGCATCGCCGTCGGTTACTCCACCGATACCACCATCTCGTAAACTCGCACGACTTGAGCGGCCGGCATCATCAGCCGCGCTCTGTATTGCAGAAATAGGCGTTTCTGCATCAAGTTCCCCCCTCAGAAGTCTCTCGTTTCGACGCCTCGCGCGTTCCTGGGTCTGTTTGAACTTGTCAAGCAGTTCGGGCCATTTAATCTCGTTTACACCGACAGCGGCTGTGGCATCACGCGTTCGTGAGAGACGAGAGCTGACAGTGCTATTTAGAGCGCTGCCGGTTGTAGCGGGTAAAGAAGTCGTAGAAATCCCCGAGACCACACTAAGGGGCCACACGATCATGTTAGATAAATGATCAACACAAAAAAGCGCTGGTTCGACAAGCATCAAAAGGAAAAGAAATGGACTCAACGTACGATGGTCTGGCTGAAGTAGGCATCGAGACCGGTGTATGTAACAGCCCTATGGCAGAGACACTGTTGAGGCGGTTTTTCAAGGCACCAAAGGCAGAGGATTGGGGGAGCAGCATGAGAAGACCGTAGAGACATTTATAAAGGTAGGGATAGCGATCGGGTTCGAGGAGTTGGAGTCGTAGATCTGTGAACTCTCAGCATTCGGAACCAAAGCAGAAGGGAAAAAGGCCTCAGAACTTACACGTAAAGACAGGACTTTCTAGTAACTGCACCAGCTTATCGATCTGGATGAGCATGTTGACCGTCATTTCCAAGTCAGCAAATATCTGGAGTAGATTGTAGGCTTGCTCATATGCTTGGGCCAGGAGGCACAGCGAGAACGTAGCCACAGCATTGTGACACCAAGCGCGAAACAGAGCCACAAAGAACATCTGCCCCTCCTTGCTGTCCGGGTTTCGAAGCCTTTTCCTCAGCTCGGCCAGTTCAGGCGCCGTAATGAGGTTGTTGTTGAGATTCTGAATCATGATACTCGCAAACTCGATATCTTCGTCCTTTTCGATGCAGTCGGCCAATGTCCTATAGATGCGCTCGGGTTGGAGGTTGATACACAATTGACGAATAATCAAGTTGCCCCGGATCTCCAGCAGCTTACGGTCGGTGGAGAAGAGCTGAAGCAACGCCACCATGAAGGATGTGAAGTATCCGTCTTCGCTGTTCTTGGAGATCTGTGAAAGAAGCTGCAAATCGCGTGTCACAACCGCTTCTGCCGGATCAGAAAGCGTCTTGAGCAGGGCAGGAAACGTCCCGTCATTGAAGGCAAGAACTTTCTTTGGCGCTTTTCTGTGAAGCATAATCAACCAGCTCAATGCTGCCACACGCGTCTCTTCGTGTTCGTTGAGGAACTGCAGCGTCAACGCGTTCACTGCTGCCGCGTAGTCGAGGTCAGCCATGGGTTGTGGTGACGGCGCTGCGGTAGACCGGGGAGTGACCTCCGGTGGCGACTGCTCTATCTCAGAAGACGCTTCAGGAGGAGTCTCGTTTTTACTATCCGCTTGCGAAGGCACGCTCTTGGTTGTCCCCCCTGATTGTCTTTTTTCGGAACCTTCTCCGTCTCGCGTCGTCACACTCACCAGGGTGCCGGATGTGAGCGCACCCTGGTCATCGTTTGACACCTCATCTTGGAAGGTGACAATGTAATCCATCAAGGACCTGTTGACCTTGCTGGCGGTCGTTCTGACTTGCTCCGACTGCGCCGATAGTGCTGGCAGAACACGCGACAGCAGGCGAGGCACGAACTGCAGAATTTCTTCCGGACTGATCTCGAAGAAGCTGTCAATCCATCGTAGGGCGACGATGCCGATCTCTTCTTCCTTTTGTTTGGACAACCCTTCAAGTCGTAGTTGTGGCGCCGTCTCTTTACTCGACGAGACATCGACAAACTTTAGCAAGATGTCGAGGATCTGTGCGTAATCCACCTGTACATCTTGTCCAGGTATCCAATCACCGTCGTGCTCCCCAAGTTCGTTCAGTTCGTCTTGAGCGGTCCCAGACTCGGAATCTTCGATAGCATTTTCATTCGACTGACTGCCGCGAGCCGTAGTGCTGCCCGCATCAGACCCAGGTCTCCGATTGCCGGCTCGAGTGCGGCGACTTTCAGCAATCCCGCGCTTGATCTTTGCGATTTTCTTGATCTCGCTGAGGAAGCGCTCAAGCAACCCTTGCGTCGCCACATACACGTCCCGATTCGGATCTCCGAGGAATTTGAAGAGGCCTCCAAGAAAAGCTGGTAAGTAGTGTACAAGTTCCAAATCGGGAATGGTGTCGAGAAGGGTCAGCCATGAAACCAGAAAGGTGCGTGTAAATGGGTTGATGACGTGAATGCGCTCTTCGAGAAGGGGAATGAACTTTGCGAGGGAAAAGGTTGTGGGGAGGTCGGCGCTTTCCTTGTCTGGATCGAGTTGTTCGCCATCCTCATTGAAATTGAGGACTGAAACGTACGACGCCGCGGACTCGGAAACAATATCCTTGATTAGACGGTCGAGGAGCTCCGCGCCGTTCTTCACTGAGAGCTCTGAGTCGGCAGCAAGCTATATGTACCAACGTTAGCAGCAACGACAGCCGAGGGGGGTCCATTCATGCCTTGCATAATGCATCAAATATGTCGTTGAAGAAGACCAGTATCTCTCCCTTGGCCACTTTGGCAATGTTGTACATGGCCTCGCAGGCATAATAGCGTACACGGGCGTCTTGATCGGTAAAGCATGCTAGAACAGGTGGAACAATGTCCGACAAATAACGGGCGACCTCATCCTAGAGAGAGGGTCATCAGTATAGGGGCGCCACACATAATGACGGGACAGGCATACAGAGCCCAAGGCGATCGAAGCAGCCGCTAGACCAATGAGTCCTCCATTACGGGCATGTGGAAGGTGCACAGCATAGGCATAGTCGTGACACAACTGATCAATCGTCTTCCGGATCTTGTCATATTCTTTGGCGGCACTAGCCTCTCGGATGAAACGCTCGAGCCTTGTGGGAATCAGCAACAGTCACGAATATCTCGAATTTGTGGTGGAGTCATACTCGAGGGCGCCCTGCTTCCTTTTATCGTAGAGCTTGTCAGTAAGCAGCCGTTGAACTGCGGGATCCATGGCGTTCTGTGGATTGAGTGACGCGGGTCTTCAAAACCATCATCGGATGTGCGTTATACGCCCAAAGTGGCAACAAGGTTTGTGGAGGTGGAAAGGCCAATTTCCGGTGCAACGGCGACAGACTCTGGTCTCAAGAGGGTGTCAGACAGTCTGCTCAGACATTAATAGTGTAGAGATGGTTAGATGGGCATTGTGAGAACCGGAGTGAGGACTTGGGAAATAGGGTGGTTGATGGGAAGAGACGCGTCGTTTGGTGCAGGTCCAGATGCAGGTCGAGTTGATGGGGTCCAAACGAAAGTTTTTGGCGTCGCTATCACCGTCACCGTCACTCACTCACTTTCCCTTTTTTCCCGCTGCAGCCACCACAGCCTCTCAATTGGGTCATTGGCTGAAAGGGTCATTTCAGGGATCCGTACTTGCTTTCATTCGCCAGGGTTGCCCTCCAGTCTATTCACCTGCGTGCCATCCTTCATCCTTGCTCACGCGAGCTGCATCCGCTATTTGTGACCTACTGCCGTCTCTCCTTACAAATGGTTACCAGGCACGCAAGGGAATAATGCCCCCTACACTAAATACCAAGTACAATCACCCAATATTCGACCAATCACACTCAATCCTCTCAATGCTACCTGTAGCAACTTCGCAGTCCATGCTTAGTGGCTGATATACTGGAACACCGCACTCACTGCCTCTTCCGACGCCTCTTGTCGGAGCAAGAGGTCTTGAATCTTGCCGAGAGGGCCCTTCTCTCCAGAGTTGACGAAATGATTCCAAGAGCTTGTGTCACCGTAAAGCATGGCTGGCGCTTGATTTGTTGTGTGCCGTCTGGTTTGCACCGTTTACATTTGAATGTGTCATGGGTGTCACTGGTGGTATCCGGTTTGAACTGGAACAGCTCTCGCAAGGAATCGAGAGTAAAATGCCGCTCGACATCTTCCGCCGAATCCACCACTGTCGACGAAAGGGCCTGCTTATGTGATTGGCGCTGGAAAATCTTCTCTTCGATGGTACCTGTCCCCATGAACCTGTACACGAAGCAGTCCTTTTTCTGGCCATCGCGCCACACACGAGCAAGAGCCTGCTGGTCAGCTGCCGGATTCCAATCCGGGTCAAACAGAACAAGACGATTGGCACCGATCAAGTTGATACCACAGCCACCGGCCTTGCTGCTCAATAAGAAGACGAATTCTTCCCCGTTTGGATCGTTGAACTTGTCCACGAGCTTCTGTCGTTTATTGACATTCATGGTGCCGTCGAGTCGAAGACATCCGTAATTGCGTGCACGGCATAGCTTTTCAAAGACATCCAAAGTCTGAGTGTAGTTGCTAATGAGCACAATCTTGTCGTTTGTGTCTTGACGGATCCGAGCAAGCATACGCTCTAGAACCGAAAATTTGCCAGAGTGCCATGATTTGACATCACGGTCGCGACCACGAGCCTCTTTGGGAACATAGTCATCAGGCCAATACTTCTCGCTCCCTGGAAGGTCCTTCTCCAGGTCCAAAAGATCGGGGTGATTGCACAGCTTCTTGAGAATCCCGATTGCCTTCAACGGCTGGCTGCCTTTGCCTCTTAATAGACTCTTGATGTCAGGGCTTTGAATGAAGTGGTTATAAAGATCTTTCTGAAATGGGGCAAGGTTGCAGAACACCACATGTTCATACTTGACAGGCAAGTATTTGGATAGGATGTCGTTCGTCCTTCGGATGATGAATTTCTTGACCAGCGACCCCAGCTCGGCATTGGCTTCTTCACCCTTTTTCTTGTCCGCGTCTGATCCGGCAGCATCGCGACCGCGGAGAATAGGCAGTTCGAATTTCTTCCGGAAGTCGGCCTTGGTCCCCAGGTAACCCGGATTTGCGAAATCCAGCAAGGCATAATACTCAGTGAGATCGTTCTGGATAGGTGTCCCTGACAGAATGACCCGTCGGTCAACATTCAAACCGGTCAATGCCATATATGTCTCGCTTTCGGAGTTCTTCAAGCGGTGACCTTCATCACATAGCATCAACCCGATCTTAACGTCTTTGAGCTCCTCGATATTCAACCTGAGGGATTCATAGGACACGATCAGGACGGGTCTCGCAATGCCTCGGCCGGTAGCCATTGCCCATTGTTTCAATTGCATCGTGAGCTCTTCCTTCGTCGCCTTTCCGTCAATGGCAAAGGGGTTGATAGCGCCCTCGCCGAGCCATTTAACAAGTTCATTTGCCCAGTTTTTGACCAGACTGGCAGGGCATGCAATAACACATTTCTGAATTGTGGATTTGCCGGCCTCCGGAGATTGCTTGAGTAATGTCCACATGAGGGTGATGCATTGAAGAGTCTTTCCCAAGCCCATTTCATCCGCCATAATGCAACCCTTGGCCTTCTCATCCACAAGACCTGTGGTACATCTGTACAGAAATTTGACTCCTTCCACCTGATGGGGCCGCAGTACTTTGGCCAGCCTTGGATCAATGACCACCGGTACTTTGGGTCTCTCGCCTTCTACTTGTTTCTTAATACCAAGTATTTCGGCCAAGCTTTTGTGCATGAGAGGTGTGTCAAGCTTCGGCTTTTCCTCCTCTTGTTTGTCCGTAGCATTCTCCTCAGGCTTCTCGTCTATAGTTGGGTCATATAGGACGATTGCGAATTCTCCACTGGGATCATGTAAAGGCTTATTGACGAAACCATGACCTAGGCGCATTCCCAGACTAGGCGCTGGTCGTGACGGATCAAAGGCATTCTTGTTGATTAAAGGGATGGAGAATCGAGCTCGAAACGTCGTTTCTTTATCCTTGACCTTGAAGATTGGAAACCGGTCTTTGAGAGTCACAGAATCTTCATCGAGCGTAAAACCACCACTTGTATCTTCAGCTCCGCCGTCCACTTCAGCATAATTGACCTTTCTTCTCTTTCTGGCAGGCTCGCCTTTGGACTTGCGGGAATTGGCTGAGCCGGGACATTTGAAAGGCTTTATGAGACGGTCGATGGCCGCAGGCGAATTGACACTGAGTCTGCCAGCTTTTGCTGGGTGTATGTTTTCCTTGTCATGCTCGAGCGAGATGAATTTGGTGCGTATCCTGCGGCAAGGTTAGAACATGTATGTTACAGAATCTCACGCACTTACATGTTTCAGATGACAGATCGCCGCAGAGCAACAGACACCGTGTCTACCCTGAGTTGGGCCTGGCAGACACTCTTGATATCTAGGTGAATAACAATAGTGGCAGTGGTAGAAATCCAGTCACGGTTGCACGCGTCGTGAACATGACGCGCGTTCACGTGCAACTTAACTTCTCGGTCATTAGGACTTGCCTTGGGAGGACCCCACGAACCACCACCGCGGCCAACGAAATACCTCGGAGAGGCCACCAAGAGCACCTCACAAGACTCGACGCAAACAATTTTCAAGATAAAGACAGCTGGGCAACGCTCTGATACGTTTTTTCATACCAAATAATGCGAGGCCATCACATCAATCTGGAGGAGTGTCGTTTATCTACAGGTCATCGTCTGCAAACCATGATATAAATCCAAAGAATCACAACCGTCCTCAATTGAAGGAGCTCGCCCATCTTCTCACGGCGGGCTCAAGATGTCGGCAGACTTCTGGGCTAGCTATATCTCTGGGGCATTGGGGATATTGGTGGGTAATCGCCTCGATGTCCTAAAGGTCGCCGCTCAAGCAGGCACTAGTGGTGTCGTTGCAGAACCGACACTGCAGCATGACTCGAATCAACGTCTTCAGAGAGTCACAGCATTGTTCAGAGGAGCTGCCGCCCCCATTCTAGGCTATGGCGCATTGAACTCTATACTCTTCATGACATACAACCGGTCCCTGAAGTTGATGGATCCAAGCATATTTGACTACACAAAGCTGGCTGGCGTTGATTTGAGCAAGATTTGGGCGGCGGGCGCGATTGGAGGACTCGCTACATTTGTCGTCTCCGCACCGTCAGAGCTCATAAAATGCAGGGCCCAGCTTATCGTGGATGGACAAGGTTCTTCATATGGAGTATTTAAAGAAATATGGAAATATGGTGGGCTTCGAGGGCTCTACTACGGAGGCACAATCACTGCTGTTCGAGATGCCGTGGGATATGGCTGGTATTTTTGGTCGTACGAGCTAACTAAGCGATTACTTCTTTCTCGACAAGCCGATCCATTCGCTTCTCCTACTGCTGCAGAAGTTCTAATCAGTGGCGGTATTGCCGGAGTCGTCACCTGGGTATCCATCTATCCTCTGGATATCATCAAAACCCGTCTCCAGACGCAGGCTTCCCCAGCCACAGAGTGCCAAAGGCTTCTTCCGGGAGCCAACACGGCGGGCGCCCAAGCGAAGACAAGTTTGACCATCGCTCGGGACATTTGGCAAATCTCCGGAATGGGCGGCTTCTATCGCGGAATTGGCATCTGTAGTTTGAGAGCGTTCATCGTGAATGCAGTCCAGGTAGGCCGCTCTCTGGTCCCATCATCATCCCCTACTAACCTTCGATAGTGGTATGCATACGAAAGGATCATGATCTTTCTGGGGAACCATCAATGATTAGACCGAGATGTAAACAGTTGAAACCAAATGGAGTCAGTTCAGTTGGCTCGACATGCTCATTCAGATGGGTTACTTCTGACAAGAGTCGTGTCTTCGGCGGTTTTGAATGCGCATAGTTTCGTCATAAGGTCGTTCACATGAGGACATCAAGAATTCTAGTGCATCTGGATCAATACAGCTCAGATCTCAATGTTCCACGTCTTTCATAGTCTCGTTGTCTGGAACGTTTTCCGAGGAATTAGGGTGACGTTTGTCTGTGCCCAAGCCTACGGCTGCATCTGCAAGTCTTTGGGTGTGTACCTCCTCCTTGAGCATTCGGACACTATTCCACAGTCAGGTCGCTTCATGGCGTCAAAGGATAGCATGTACCGTCTCTTGTGATTCTTCCCTCTCCTATGCTCGTTCAGATTGTGGCTGTCTGAGAAATATTTGGCGCATTCGACACAATAGAAGGCGCCCAGTCCGGGCAGGTCCTCGGAGGCTTTAAGACCCTTGTGTAAAGCGAGATGCCGGGGTGATTTGAGGTCGGCTTTGACTTGATCAAGGTCGCTATAATATAAAGGTTAGAGGATAACTATTTCAAGGGCATTTGTACGGACCGGGTGCGACGTTTGGTCTTGGTGCGTTTGATACTACCCATGATATTTCCCGAAGATCAATTCGCAAGGCTTTCGGCTTGAGTTTTCCGCTGGCGAGAAATACTAAACCATGTACATGCGAGGCTGTTTTTGGGGCGCACAGGCGGAATGGCAATGTTTGTGGGCCGACAATTGTTTTGGAAGGGGCCACAGCAACTTCTGCGGCAAAGGCTTGCCTGGCTTGCCCAACACAGTGGGTGCCAAGCCTCCGCCAACAAAAGCGCGAGATGCCGACTGGGTCAAGGTAGCGGCTTCTGCCGGGGCTCTTCTCGGACTGGCTCATCCAACCAATCATTTGGCCCCTAAATCTGGGACAATGCATTGGACCTCATGTTGTCTTCTCTGGGCTCGCCTCACCAGCTTGGAAAACATGACATACCCTGCTCTTCCGATTACGCCAGATTGAGCGCTGCGAGATCTGATTAAGGCGGTCAAAGACGCTGGGAAACATCATCGAGAGCCCTTCCATATATGGAACTCTTCAAGGGTGCTTGAAAAAGAAAGAGTGGTAACGAGGGGACTTTCCCGCGCATCTGGTTCGACGAGGTAATTACATCATTCATGATTGGCTAGACGAAAGGTCTGCAGGCCAGAAGAAAAATTGCAGGCTTGAGGCATTTGCTCGGAGCATGGGGTAGCGGTGGAGCACATTGCCTAGGTAGGAGCTTCGGAATGCTTTAGGCGCTGGTTTGTTGTGCGGCAAGATCGGTCTGGTGGAAGCATGGTATATATCTAGGGCTAAGGGTATTTTGTTGGAATTTCTGGAACTCTCTTCGAGTGAAAAAAATATTCTGCAGCCCATCGATCGTTGCGTAGATGAGGAGGAGAAGTGGTTGCTGCAGCCATTGATCATTGCCGCAGTTGACGTCGTCCCAGGCTTATCGTGCCTTTTGCCCTCTTTGCCCGAGGCTGATTGGCGCTGCACCTTTGCACCCTGGGAGCTTGCAACAACTCCTCCCACCCATCCACATCTCCGTCCACAGCTTCTTTTATTTCTTTTCACCTCTCCACTCTCTCTTGATCCTGTTGCCAGCTCTACACCGAGCTTGGGATTTCTGTACCTGTTACTAGAGATCAAGTATTGTCGCCAACATGATGTCCACGAGGCCTCTGGGCCGCCTGGCCTCCCGCATGGTAAGTGCTCTGCTTGCATCATAGCACTGTTCGCAACCTTTCCAGTTGCTGCAACGACACAATTATTGCTATGCTTCTTGCTACTGCCCACAAGCGTTTGCTGACATGTATCTCGAAACTAGGGTGCCAAAGTTGGTTCTGTTAGTCCTCTTCCCATCTCGATCCGGGAGCAACAACAGCTCGCTAACAGTCCAAAACAGCCCTTGCGAGTATCCAGGATGGGTTATGCTACCGTCTCAGACGATCCGCTCAGCAAAAATAAGTTATACCTTGCACAAGTGGTTTATTCGACGATCCTAACAGCCCGATACAGGTTGAGATGACCAACTGGGAGAAAGGTCACTACATCAACTACAAGTGAGTTCCCGGCGCTACTGGAAGTGGTTGCTTTCAGATTCAGTACCCAAAAACACATCAGCGGCGCTGACAGCTACTATAGAAAGATGTCGGAGAACCTAGCAATCGTCCGCAGCAGACTTAACCGCCCTCTCACATATGCTGAGAAAGTCCTGTATTCACATTTGGACGACCCGCACGGACAAGACCTCGAACGAGGAGTTTCCTACCTCAAACTCAGACCTGATCGAGTAGCATGTCAAGATGCTACCGCCCAGATGGCTATTATGCAGTTCATGTCCGCTGGCATGCCCTCAGTTGCTACGCCGACCACCGTTCACTGCGATCATTTGATTGAAGCCCAGGTTGGTGGAGACAAGGATCTGGAAAGAGCCAAGGATATCAATAAGGAGGTCTACGATTTCCTGTCGACTGCTTGTGCCAAATACAACATCGGCTTCTGGCGTCCTGGCTCGGGCATTATCCATCAGATAATCCTGGAAAACTATGCTTTCCCTGGTGGTTTGATGATCGGAACCGACTCCCATACTCCTAACGGTGGTGGTCTTGGTATGGCAGCAATTGGTGTCGGCGGTGCCGACGCGGTTGATGTCATGGCAAATCTGCCATGGGAACTGAAGGCCCCCAAGGTCATTGGTGTCAAGCTGACCGGTGAAATGTCTGGATGGACTTCTCCCAAAGGTGAGAAAGCCGCACCTCCTCATTGACGTTGTGCTGATCTTGGATTTCAGATATCATCCTCAAGGTGGCCGGTATCTTGACGGTAAAGGGCGGCACTGGGTAAGTCATTATTGCCTCTGATATTTTGGCTGTACCGTTGTATTCTGACCTTTCTACAGAGCGATTGTCGAATATCACGGTACGTGTACTCTTTCTACATTACCCCGTTAAAATCCCGGCGAGGATGTGAATCCCCTTTCTGGTTGCCACTACTTTAATACCACCTGGACGAACCGAACCGATGGAATACAAGTGACGAGCCTGGCACGGCGTACACCCAATGCCCAACCGGGTCGCGCAATTTTCAACCCGCCCAAGTGACGAGTCTGGCACGGCGTTCACCTAATGCCCAACTGGGTCGCAGGTTTCACCCCCCCCCCCCCCAAAACAAGTCTGACTGCCGGCCAAATACGACCAAAAATACAGCCAAATAATCGGATTACCAAAACAAACGAGACAATTCTCCCAGATGGATACCACCCCTCAAATGCCGGGATCAGTCATGATGTTTTGAATCCTGCGTTCTTCTAGTATACTTTGTGGTATCATGCTAATACTTTTTCAAGGTCCTGGCACTAATAACCTCTCCTGCACCGGCATGGGCACCATCGTAAGCATCACATAACATCGACCGCTCGGCGTTCTGCAATGCTGACTATATCCAGTGCAACATGGGTGCCGAGATCGGTGCAACGACTTCTCTCTTCCCCTTCAACGACCGCATGTACGATTACTTGGCTGCAACCAAACGCAGGCATATTGGTGACTTCGCTCGGGCATACTCTGCTGAGCTTCGCGAGGATGAGGGCGCCGAATACGACCAATTCATCGAACTCAACCTCTCTGAACTCGAGCCTCATATCAACGGTCCATTTACGCCAGATTTGGCCACTCCCATCTCCAAGTTCTCCCAGGCAGTCAAGGATAACAAGTGGCCCGAGGAGTTGAAGGTCGGACTGATCGGTTCTTGCACAAACTCTTCATATGGTGAGTCTTTGAAAAATTGTCCACTGCTGGAGTGGTCATAGATCTCTCGACAGCGACACAAGCTGACTAATGGTCGCAGAGGATATGAGCCGAGCAGCATCAATCGCTCAGGATGCTATGGATCATGGCATCAAGGCGAAGGCTTTGGTATGTATTTCCCACCAGCAGTCATGAGCCTCACCCTGTGACTATGGCACTGTCCGCTAACGATTTGCAGTTCACTGTCACACCAGGTTCCGAGCAAATTCGCGCAACAATCGAGCGAGACGGTCAGCTCAAGACTCTTGAGGACTTTGGCGGCGTCATCCTCGCAAATGCCTGCGGCCCCTGCATTGGTCAATGGGACCGAAGGGATGTCAAGAAGGGCGAGCCTAACTCGATTATCTCCTCCTACAACCGAAACTTCACCGGCCGCAATGATGCCAACCCTGCCACTCACTCGTTCGTCACGTCTCCGGATATGGTTGTAGCGATGACCATCGCAGGAAACCTCAACTTCAACCCTTTGACCGACACACTGAAAGACAAGGATGGAAAGGAGTTCAAGCTCAAGCCACCCAGTGGTGAAGGTCTACCCCGAAACGGGTACGACCCGGGTCGTGACACATATCAAGCCCCTCCAGAGGAGCGTAGCCAGGTGGAAGTGAAAGTTTCTCCAACATCCGACCGTCTGCAAATCTTGCAACCTTTCGAGCCATGGAACGGCAAAGATTTCCTCGACCTTCCCATCCTGATCAAGACCAAGGGCAAGACCACCACTGACCACATCTCGATGGCTGGTCCTTGGTTGAAATACCGTGGTCATCTCGACAACATTTCCAACAACATGCTGATTGGTGCCATCAACGCTGCCAACGGTGAAGCTAACAAGGTCAAGAACTTCAAGACTGGCGAATGGGATGCCGTCCCTGCCACTGCTCGCTGGTATAAGAAGGAAAAGATCCCGTGGGTTGTCATTGGAGACTGGAACTACGGTGAGGGTTCTTCTCGAGAGCATGCTGCTCTTGAACCCAGACATCTTGGCGGTATTGCCATCATCACCCGAAGCTTCGCCCGTATTCACGAGACCAACTTGAAGAAGCAAGGCATGCTACCCTTGACCTTTGCCAACCCCGAGGACTACGACAAGATCAACCCTGACGACAAGGTTGACTTGTTGATCACCGACCTGGCACCCGGCAAACCCGTGACGATGAGAGTCCATCCCAAGGATGGCAAAGCATGGGATTGCGAATTGCAACACACATTCAACGAAGGCCAGATTGAATGGTTCAAGAACGGCAGTGCCCTGAACACTATGGCCAAGAAGCACGGTTCCCGCTAAATGCCGAATAAAATCTAGGACAATGAAATTCGTCGGGGATGAAGACGGAACTATTGTACAGAATGCCAGTTGAATGCGGACACAACCGGCACGAGGAACGGGGTCGGTCCAAGAAGCCCCTCGAAAAATCGAGATGGAAGACTGAAAGTCGTGGGATCGAGGTCGGAAGGAAATCAATCGTGTATTGGGGGGTTGGAATGTTGGCTGAATGGCAGCATGATATTATGTACTTTTCGTAGCGGAAATACCAATGCACACCAGTTTTCAAAGGTCACACATATGTATGCGTCTAAACGTGCTCTGTAGCAAGTCACCCAGTCACCCAGTCATCCAGTGCCCTGACGAGGCTGTGTAGCAGCATTTGATGTCATGATGACTGACAAAAAGGCGCCTTGTGAACCTCGGCATGTGGAGAAACAACGATTAACAATTGCTCGACGGTGATTGCGATATGCGCTGTATCTTCTGTCACTGGTTACATATATTAAGACGAATCCCTACCCTCGGTGTTCAGGCTACCTTCCCAAAGGCTCTCTAGTTCACGACCTCCGTATTTTGCGGCGAACTTCTGTGTACGAACGAGACGGCATCCACAGGGTGAGATGGCGTGAATACATGTACCCGAGATAGACAACGACCCTCTCTGATCCATCAACCTCTACCCTCTTCTCGGCTATCCGCGTACACTGTCAATCACTCTACCGAACAGACCCGACGTACAGATCCGGGTGCTTCCAGGCTGCAGATAATACCAGCCTGTCCCAGAACTCACCTTCGCATCAAAATCTCTTGGGAGAGGAAAAAAGCCAGTCACCATAAATAGTGCTGATTGGGGCCAGCAACGAGAGAAATCTCCCGCAACCTCGATCCCCCCCAGAAAACACGATTAGTTATATGCGCAGACTTCCCACCGGACTGAGACACTTGCATCACAGCACCAAACCTGCATTTCGAGGCCCAAGACGTGTCATGGCACAAGCTCTACCAGAACTCCCAGATTGGGAGCAGATCAGCACGAATATCGTCCGCATTCTGGGCGGGAATCCAAGCAAGGTCAGTCCGTTGGGTGCTCTCGAATTGTCCCTGTCGGGAATCCTGTCATATTGAGGGGTTCTCTCTCCTTTTGTGGGTGTCTGTCCGCGGGAGAGGTGGTGGTTCCTTGTCATTGTTTCTATCTGGCGTTGGAAAAGGGACAACTCTATGGAGAGAAGAAGGGGGAAATGTCCCTTGCCATGTGATCAATTGCCTCCTCTTTCGTATGCGTATGCTGATCCGATGCTCCCAAACAGTTCACCCTTCAAGGCACAAATACATACCTGCTCGGGACGGGACCCCGTCGCATACTAATCGACACGGGCGCGGGCGAGAAGAAATGGATCGAGACGCTACGAACCGTGCTGACCGCTCAAGAGACACCCATAAGTGTCTCGACGTGTCTACTGACGCACTGGCACCACGACCACCTGGGCGGGGTCAAGGACCTTGAGGAGCTGTGCGAAGAACTCAACCAGCCCGGGGAAGCGGTCAAGGTTTACAAGAACCAACCGACGTGGAACCCTGACGGACTGATCGACCCTTCGCGCGTGCACGACATCCAAGACGGCCAGACCTTTTCGACCCCTCTCGCGGAAACGTCGACGCCGTTTGAGATCCAGGCCATCCATACGCCCGGGCACGCCAAAGACCACATGGTCTTCCAGATCACCTCGTCGCCGGACCCGACGGAAGTGGGGGCACTGTTCACGGCGGACAACGTTCTGGGCCACGGCACGGCCGTGTTTGAAGATCTGCACCTGTACCTGCAGACGCTGGAGCTGATGAAGCGGCGGGTCGTTGACGCGGTGGCTGCGCAGAAAGAGTCCCGCGACAGCAACACCGGCATCAAACGAGCCTTCCCGGGCCACGGGGCCGTCATCTCCGACGCCGTCGCTAAGATCGACGAATACGTCGCGCACCGGCGCATGCGCGAGGAAGAGGCCCTCAACGTGCTCAAACACGGGACAACGACGGCGCCCCAAGGCGCGGAGCCGCTCGTGCACGACACCATCACGCGGGTCGGCGACGGCGACGACGAGGACGTCATCGGCGGCGGCGAGACCGTGCTAGGCAAGGAGTGGGAGAGCATCGAGATGGTCAAGGTCATCTACCGCCACTACCCGGAGAACCTGTGGCAGCCGGCCGAGAACGGGCTGCTCATGGTGCTGGAGAAACTGCGCCGGGACGGCAAGGTCGTCAAGACGAAGGAGGGGAGGTGGCGGGTGAGTGAGAAGGCCATTCTTTAGACCATTCTTTAGAAGTGGTGGTGATCTCGACAGCGGCGATAACGTAGACTTTGGGAAAAGAGCCGTTTCCATCCACCTCCTCCTCTGTTTCGCTCTTGTTTTTTTTTTCTACTTTCTCTCCTGCCCTAACAGCCATCCATTTCCCATTTTACCATGTCTGCCATGCTCCCCATGTTCCCATGCATGCGTGCATGATTGATCGCTTGCGTATAACAAGAGCAGTCAAGACTCGAGAGACCGGTGCCCACCTCACGCCACCCCACGATCCCCCCTTTTCTTTGCAAGTGGAATCGAGCAAGAAACCCCCAGAGTCAGAGGGTGGTAAAAGTGGTGTGCGTGATAGCCAACAATGCTGGACGAAAGGGATTGCGAAGAAAAAAGAAAGGGTCAAGAGAGGAGAGGAAGGGGGGGGGAGCAAACGTATCGATCAATGTAGCCTCGTACCTCTGTATGTGGTTCAACTACATCTGTATACGAGGTATGTACATGCATGTACCGAGTAGAGAGAGAAGCAGGACAGACGTGTAGATCTAAACGGCACGGCTGGGCATCTATCTATCTATCTATCTCAGAAATGAATACATGCCCCATTGGTATCACCACTACCTGTTTGTCGTGCCTTTTCTATATATCTACCTTTCTCAATTTCTTATGGAGCGGGAGAGACCAGAACACGCAGAGATGGAGGGGAAGATATGCTTGTTATTAATATATATATTATTTTGGGTCTGGGTCTCTGTATCTATACACCTCGCAGAGCATCCATCCATCTATACCAACCTCTTTTGCTTGAGAAACTCGGTCAAGCCCCGACCTACGCCCTCTGGGCTCGGTTTGGCAGCACAGACGTCCGGGTCGAAGCCGTACTTGTTCCGGAGATGGTCGCGTGTCGTGGGACCGATGGTAACAATAACGTACCTCGGCCTCTGCGCGTGCGCGTGCTGCTGCGAGGTGGCGGACTGGAGACAGTCGAGATTGTCCTCTGCCCACCTCGTCTTTGCGAACTCAGTCAGCGCTTGACTCTCGTCAATGTACCCCAGTGACCGAAGCATCGATTCACACCCCTGGGGACTGAATACCACAATGACAATGACACCTGCCACCGCGGTCTTCTGTGCATCGGCACCCTGGTGGTATGAGGCGATCCTCCTTTGAAAGTCGTTTGAGAACGACTCCATCACCACCGTGGTGTAGACCTCGACCTCGTCCACCTGGATCCGCTCATCCGGCGCCAACTTGCCTTGTCTGTCCATCAACGTGTTGGGGATGATGTCTCGCCTCTGCTCCCCGACGAGGAAGAGTAGGGGCTTCTTTTGCAGCCGCGCGTCGCCTTTGTCCACCCTCTCCCCCTGTGGAGGTCCAATGAGCGGAGTGAAGGGTAGTCTCGGCGCATCGTAGAAGGTATAGAGTCTCCGCGAGTGTAGGGCGTTGTAGTGCGACAGGATATACTGGGCAAGCTTCTCCCCGTTGCCCGAGTCTTCGCCTAACACGGAGGGGCGCAGGCTAGCACAGGGCGACGACTCGAGGGATGAGGACTCGACGACGAGCGTCTTCAGGGCGCGCGAGGTGGCGGGGCCAACCGTGTAGAGGGGAAACGTAAAGTCATCATCCAAGAGACTTGCGGAGGCGCATGTGCTGTCGTGGTGGTCTGTCGTGGTCTTGGACGTCTGGCGTCACATCAGCCCAAAAGTTCTCACACACACATACGCACATCATCAACCCCTCCTCGAAAACAAAGTCCCCTCTTTCGTCCTTGGGGGCCGTAGGAGGAAACAGACCGTACCAATGCCCGGGTCCCGACCTGAAGCACTCTCGCCTCCAGGTTCATCATCGTCCCCTGGTCGCTCGGCACTTCGCTCGACCCTCTTGACCACGTCGGCCCAAGCCTCGACCGCCCGCTGACTAGTGAAGATCATGCCGCCATACTGCTTATCCAACTTCCCCCTCTTCAGCAGCTCCTCTAGTGCACCTAGATTCTTGGTGTTTGCCCGGTGGTCTAGGACGGGGACGAATTCAGGGAGGAAGATGGGACCGGCGTGGTCCTCGCTGCTGCTGCCGTTACTGCTGGAGGACGCAGCAGCAAAGTATTCCTCGTAAGCATCATGGGGTTGGGATCGCGTCTTGAGGAGGAATACGGGGATGGTCAGCGAGGGTGTCATAGTTCCATCAAGCGAGGCCGAGTCGGAAGAGGCAAGCCGAAGTCCCTGAGACCCGAGGGGTTGGTGTTGCAGGGGGAGCGAGGAATGAGGCGGAGTTCGTGAGGCGCGGAAGACGGGCAGGTAAAGAAGGTTTCGACAGAGGGCGGGGGAGGAGAAGTGAAGTTTCTCGGTCATGGATTGTTTATTTACAAGTCAAGCATAAGTGCCAATGTAAAACCAATTCGGCTCCAGCATTAGACACATGATTCCACATAATTACATGGTACGCCATACGACGCCATCGCGGGACAAAGATAGTTGGCTCGCAGATCAAACTTGGGGGGCTGCAAGGTCGAAACACCTCGCTTGAGGCATTTCTGCAATAATTGAAACCAGAAACTCAGGCGCTACCCCTCGCCCCGGTAGGTGGCTGAGTTCGCAGGGTGGCAGGGTGGGTAGGGCTCGAGGGGCTCTACTTGGTATAGGGCTATCCTGGGCGTACCTGGCCGCAGCCTTGCAAGGCTGTTGTCCAGGAACAGGCAATATTGCCGTATCGTGCTAACTAGAACCATGCTGGTGGACAAAAATGCTTGTATCAGTAGTTCTTCTTTGCTCCCTCCTGTCCAAAAGGGATAAAGATAGTCAAACGCCGAACTACTGCCAACTTACTCGCCTCAACCTGAGCCGTTTCCGCGCTTGAGTCCAGTCAAGGGTTCTTTAGTACACACCACCCTCCACCCACCTAAAGGCTGCCTGTCTCACGTCCCCAGATGCGTTGTTCTCTTCCCAAGGTCACCGCTACTGCTTGCTGATTCCACTGTCCAGACTAACAACACAAATTCCCCGAAGGACAAGACTCCCCTTCCGATTTCGTGATCCATGGGGCGAACGGTTCCAGAACAGAGCCCAGACAAACGGCCTGCTCTGTACGAGTCATGGAAGGAAACGTTTATCAGACTGCAGGCAGCCTTGCGGTTCCGCCAGTCGTCCTATTTCCAAAGTGTCGTGGGTGATGATTCGGCCCAAAAATTCCTCCACGACAGCGTGGGCAGAGATATGTAACTTGTATGTCAGCTCGTCCGGGGCATGTCTCTCTCCTTGTGTCTCAATTAGTCGGCCTCTGATACAAGCAGGAGAGGGTTTTATTATCAGAAGTGTATTCGCTCTGCAAATATGTCAAGATTGGCCGACGTTTGATAGGACCGAGAATTCCAGCGAGGAGCGTGGCTGCTTGTCTAGCTCCCCCACCCCACAGCCAGAGCAAAGTCTCCACAGGTTCGAAGACGTATCTGGCTGAGAATAGAGGGAGAGTTCCAGCTGCAGACCGCCCACAAGAGACTCTGCTCTGGTGACGTTGTCGTTGATTCCTAGGGATAAAATCTTTTGTTGGTGGGACAGCCTAACGGAGAACCAGCAGCTCAGTGGATATGAGCCATGTCCCAAGCCTCGTACAGCCGGTTGGCATTTGACAGGTCGCACGACAGCAAGGTAGGAAGGCTGCCTTCCCACAGCGGGGCACAGAGAGGCACAGAGATGGAACAATTCTTTGAACAAGTCTTTCCCACTTCGGCAGAGCTTCAAGTCGCACATCCGAACAGCTAAGCCAGTAGGCGAAAGCGGGAAAGACTTCCCAGCGAAAGTTTGTGGGCTACAGGGGTCCTCGATCGGGACACGGGCCTTGAGGGTCAGGTGATGTTCGAATCGAAGGAAATGGCCGGTGGCATTGGATCAGACACAGATTAATGGCGGCCTTGATATCAGCCCTCAAATTGCGTGACCCCCAAAAGTTGACGTACTGCCGTCAACCGTCCACCGTCATGGATCTCAATCGTTGCTCTAGATGGCGGGGGGTCCAGAAGCATCCGTCTCGTATTTGTTTGTCTCCTTATGCATGTCTTAATTTAGTTTCCGAAGTAGCAAACATGCTGCGTGCTGGGATCGGCGCCATTCTGCCCAATGTCCAAACAGGCTGGAGAAAAAAAGTCGATGCAAACCTTGGTTCAAGGTTTGTCGATGCCTTGTGGGCGAAGCGGCCTGTGACACGGCAGCTGTCATATTGGCCTTGAAATGTGGTCGGGCCAACCATTGTGGGAGTGAGTGACCATCACCGACAGAAGGCTTGGGGGACCCTGGCTGACAATCGGAGGTATATCGACCAACAGTCAACGTACCCAACCCTCCTGGGCGTGGTGGATGGGTGCTGTGTAGTCTGAGCCAGCGCATGAAACAAGGACAGAACTTGTGCCTTTGTGTTTGCTGCAGCCCGGCGTTTCAAATGGCCCATCTCCCAGCGGGCTCAGCACTATGGCCCTATCAGCCAGGGCCCTCGTCATGGTGAATTGAAATTTTGGTACATGCACTTAGGGACCCTTGGGATTCCCAACAGGCCTGGCACACACTCATTTACCCCCATGCAACAAGGCGACGCATGGGGGAATATGCGGCATGACGGACGTCGTCCGGTTTGGCGTTGCCAGAGTTCCACACAATAACCAGCCACGAGGAGCCCTTGCTCAAGACGGTAACACGCAGAACATGTCAAACTGGCTAACCTCTTTGCCTGTGTGCAATGCAAGGGCATATTTGACTTCAGGCTTGACGAAGCCGTCGCGGGACGAATCCATCAACCCTTTGCTGATGCGCCGGAAGCTCCGAATTTGAAAACCATCTTGGCCAGAAGACCAACTGGAAAAAGCCCAGGGCTTAATGCATTGCTGAATTGAACCACATGTGGAGATCAAGCCGGTGTTTGCTTTCTTCTTGCGCCTAGACTTTGGCGTTCAGCTGCTTTGCAATATATATGATGCGCTCAAGCAACTTCACGTCGTCAAGTCTGTGACACTCGCTCGTTGTGCTCACAGACTCGTCATCACATCGTGCACATATATTTCGGGCTCCTTTTTTACCACCTCTCCTTCCTCACTGCCAGAATAATGCCTCAAAGACAACCGGTAGGACCGAGAGCTCCCAAGGATGACTTCATGCGGGCTCTGGGGTTGAGCACCACCGATCCTCGCCATGAGGGATACTACCGCGCTATGAGAGTATGTTGGAATGGGATACCCGGGAGGGAAATGGTCCAAACCGCAGCGTCCATGGGGGCTGATCCACTGAAACAGGACGAGGCCATTGCCGTGTACAGCAAACTGAACTCGGATCGAACAAGTCTGATAGACGAGAAAAGAAACGACTCATCTACAACGCCTCCCTTCTTTTGGCACCACATACGCCCGGACCGTCGCCGGCAAGCAATCATCGACACCTGGCAACAAGCGAAACCCGGCACCGTCCAGCGAACACTCTTCGATCTAGGCGCAACGACTGGGGAGCACGCTCCGAATTGGGTGACCCTATGGCTGCTGTACAGTGTCTTCCGCTCTCGGGATATTCGCAACAACCGAAATCGTCGAGCTGGTGAAGGTGGTAGTACTGGAGGTAAGGACAGCCCTGCCCCTCTCGGCGCATTGGACACTGAGTCGTTTCTGTATGATACAGGTCAGAGTTCAGGTTCCAACGATTCGCAGATATTCGACCCGGCCCGAGACAAATATGTTCGACGCTGACGAGAACCAAGAGGCGCGAAGGCCTTGTAATACTGTTTGATCCCTTTTGTATGATTCCATGGCAGGCCACTGGGCAGTTATTAATGGCGTTTAATCGTCTTCGTCTTCATCATCCTGGTTCTTCTTCGACTTGCCCTTGTTCCCGTTTTTGCGCTCTTCTCGCAGGGCTTTAACCACGGCTTCGTCGTGCTCGTCCTTTGTTTCGTCCCATTCCACGTCATATTCAGAAGCCACCGCCTTGATCTCTCTCCTGAGGGCGTTGGCCTCCTCGATCAGTGCCTCCCACTTCTGGGGGTCGAAGCCTTTGAGCTCATACAAACGGCTCTGCCGGCGGCTGATGGTGAGGTTCATCGCCGAACGGTATGACACCTCGCGATTGTGGTACAAGAACCACATATAACCACCAATAATGCTTCCCATTCCGACAAGATACGTCACAGGTTCCATGACATCCCATCCGAGATCGGTTTCGAACGTCAAGCGGTACACCACGTACCAATATCCTATCAAAATCCCACATCCGCCGAGGGCGATCCTTTGCCCGCTTTTGTGGGCGGCCACATCGCATTCACGCTTGACAGCAGCCAGGTCGGCAATCTTCTTTGAAATTCTGCGAAGCCTCTGTCGCAGGTAGAAGGTTCTGTCGTTGAAAGATGGTACTGCCACTTTGATTGTTCTTGGGTTGCCTTCGATTTCGACTTCAAATTCTTTCGCTCTGGCCGCATCCCTGATAAAATCGCCAATCTCTGTCGAGGCACTCCATCTTACAAAGTCGCCCGAGTCCTCCCCCTTCCCTTCTCTGCCTGCTCCGCTGTAGCTCTGAACACCACCTTCCCCAAGTGGACCCTTACGTTGATCCTCTTCTTGCTCTTCTGGGGTCTTGTTCTTCGGCATGATCTCATCACCTTCAGCTTCCATGGCGCGGAAGGATATGGACGGCAATCGATCGTCCCCCTTCTCGGTTTTGACTTTAGGCAATTCCGCTTGGATCAAGCGTTCAAGGTAAGACAGCGGTTGTTGTGGGTGGACAAGAAGTGCAAGGGGAGCGATGTTTTTCCTATCGTCATTGTGGTCGGATGTTGTCAAGGGTAGAACAAGCTTGAGCAGTCGTGAAGGGGTGGTGAGCAGCTTCCCTACGGATTTAGTCAGTAAGAAGGCCGGGGCCAGATGCTAGAGCTCTACCGACCTTTGGTCATGGCGCCAGCAGAGCGTTGTCTCCGTACAGGAGGCTCTTCCGCTCCTTGGCGGTGCCATGGTGTACGCTGCTGCTTTTCTCCATCGTTGGCCAGAGCATTGTCGAATTCCGCGAGGGCATCATCGACTCCCTGCTGATTGAGATCTTTTGCCTTTTGTTCGTGAGAGACACTTCTGCAGCCGAATGGTGTGAAGGAAGACGTGCCCAAGAAAGGTGTCGTACGGACACTGAGATATGAACGTCGATCAAGAACAGGGGGTCGAAGACTGAGCGCTCGGTGGACATGGGTCAATGGTTTGACCGACCCGAGTCGCCCAAGCGTCAACGCGACCCGCATTATTCAGTAGCGTCTCTCACGAGGCTATAAAGTCCCTCGAAGTAGCACTGGCATTGTGTCGGACCTGGTAGTACTCTCCAGTTGTTCTTGCACAGACTACAACGCGTGGGGATGTTGTTTGTGAGGAAGAAACAAGTGCAAACGCAGGTTTCATGCATTTCAAGGATTCAGCATCACCTGGTGGCATGGTGATCAACAAAACGACGTCATGGGCTTGTTGAAGCTTCCAGCCACTGTGGCCAGGGCCGGAACAGTTCTGCCCCAATCATCTCTTCCAGGCACCTCGGTACCAACTTTAGAGGCTGGTGGGCTTGTAGAGGCCGTTTGGGGGTGGCTGAGGCCTGGGCAGCCCCGATAAGGATCTACATTCCCCGTATCTGGAGAAGGTCGTGAACTTTGGGCATATGGCGAACTTGCCAGCGACGTGCAATAATATGCGATGCTCTATCTTCTTGATTCATCTGAAAGAAGTGTTAATATCGGTAGGTTTTTGCATTGTGATGTCTTCATAGGTCTTCATGCACCCACCTCACCTGTCCAGCTGTTTGCAGTCACCCATTGCCCGCAGGACATCTTATGGGGGATCCTTCTCAAGCTGTTGTTCTATGCCAACTTTTCCTTGGTCGCCATTGTCTCGTTTCTTTCAATCAGCCCACGTTGATATGACATTCACCGAGATTGCCTTCGATCGCTGAAATCCTATCGATAAGAACTTTTCGACAAATAAAGCATGCGGGATCGGTTGGCCAACGACCGAGTGGGGAGGTAGTGTCTGAGGGACTTTGACAAGGTCATCTCTCCGTTCTGGATTGATGCACATGTGTCGAGTGATTGTTCAGAAGCAACGCCGGAACATCACGGAGTGGGTCACGAGGGGAAGGAAGAATACGGTCAATACAAAAATACGAAATGGCTAGCCACATATATGAGTTGAGTGAATATGGCGGTGAGCTGGATATCTGGATGTCTTGCATCTGGTTTTCTGCACGATATTATACTCACTGACCACCGTGGCGGCAGCGTGGTTCGCTAGGCTGCCCTTGTCTGACATACTGGTCCTGTTTCCAGCATTCCACCATGCCACCATGCCTGGTTGGCTCTCTGCCATGTTTGATCTCCGACATTCTACTCCTCCTTTTCTTTCCGCTACTCCTCAATCTGCGGCACCTTTCAATGGCTTCACAACCAAGCTCTTTCTGGTCGTTCAACCGGGAACAGACCGGAATAAAGGTACCTGAGAGTGAACCAAACCCAGCCTTTACAAGACAGTCAACATGGGGGAAAAAGTGTCATGATATTTTTGCTGTTCTCTAAAAAACTTTCTAGCATGAAGAGCGTTCACACATCCTTCCGGGCAAAAGACTTTGGTCGATTGAGACCTCTCTCAAAAGCTCACCACCTGCTCTTCAAACCGCCATGCTTCAAAGGGAGGGATAACAAGATCAAAAGGCTCACAGAACCACACAGTTGCCTGCAAAATTCTTTATCTAACCACGGGCCAACCGTCACAGGAAAATGCGTAGTCGTGTCATCGTGAATCATGGAAAAGGAAAGCTTTGGCCCTCCCTCAAACAGAAAAGGTCATGTTTTCGTCAAGTCGTTAGGTTCGTGCACAAACATCTGGAACAAGCCGGTTTTGCAAGACATTACCCGCCCGGAGACAAGGGCACGGTGAACTTTTTTTCAGGGCTGTCCGCTGAAGCTTAGTAGCGTGGCAGGGCTCGTCTGCTGTATTGGCCAGCGTCCGACGAGTAGACAACTCGGCGAGATGGAGACGTGCGCATCGGGCTCGAGAGGCGAGACTCGCCCCAATCAGGGCTGCTTCCTCCGCTTCGGCTTCCAGCACTGTCAGAATCGCCATAACGGCACTCCATTCGAGCGGTGTCGGCTCCGCCCCTGCGGCTATGACGACCAGAGCCAACAGGCACTGGATTGCCCTGTATCACGCCCCCATGGGCAAATCCAGTCGGATACATGCCGTCATTGGCAGAGAAGTTGCGGCAGATGTTGAAGGCGATCAAAGCAGCATTTTCTTTGGCCGAGCTCTCCGACGAATGATACGTAGGAGTTTGGTATTCACGGTTGTTCACTCGAACAACACATCGATACCCAGAGGGACTATAGGATGTTTGGTAAGCAGGCTCGGGCCATCGCCGGCGCTGACATAGACCTGAGGAGGAGGGCGTCAGCGTCTGAGAACGGCAGAGAGAAAGAGAGAGATGGAGCTTTCAAGCTGTCCAGAATCGACGAACAAAGAACTCCTGGAGACCTTCCCCAGCTGTTCGTTTGGGCACATCTGCAAGGCTGGCCGACCCCTGAGCGACCAATATAGTGCGGAGAGTAAACATGGAGAGGCCAACATGATGTCGACACTTCAAGCCAGGAACAAAATGGGCAGGCCAGGTATCGAAACCAAAACCGAAAGAACGAGGTGTTGAATGAGACATACTGGCCAGGTAGACGGTGTGTAGCATGTCTGCTTCAATTTGAGGTTGCTTTCAGCGTCTTGGAAGCCCAATGGACCGTGCATCCAGTTGTTGAACAAGAATGAAGAGAGGAGAAAACCACCAAACAAGGTCAAGATGTTGACAACAAACGAGCACTTGTCAACCAGTATCACCGCTCACAAGACGTCGCCTGGCTTGAAGGCAAGGCGGATTTCGTAGGGCAAATGTAGTCAGGTAGCAGCAAATTTGAGGGCATCGACATTGCTGGGCCCTTTTACAGGTGAACTGTGGCGGCATTCCCACATATTTCATGCTCTGGATAACAAGAGAACCCTGCACTGACAGCAAAGCAAGCGCGAAGACAGCGGCACTTGCGTGGGGCATGCAGAAAGATTCCACAGTGGCCAAACGGTTTTGAGTGAGCGGCTGGGTATTGGTCCATCTCGGGAGGATAGCATTTTTCATGCTCTTCTGCCATCGTAATGTGTTGATGTGTTGGCACTCTCTGCAGCCAGTTAACGGAAGCTTGAAGTCGGGCCCATTCTTAGCATGATTCCTCTTTGTTGGGGCTTGTGCAGATCGAGATTGATTGGCGACAAGCTGCCTTGAAGATTCCCCGCGCATCCCGTCGAATGAGAAAGTTGCCCATGTACCAGAGCTACTCGTGGCCTGTCATGGTCCTTTTCGGCTCTGACTTGCGCTTGATTCTCCGCTTATATGCGCGACCGGTGAGGCTTGCAGAGAGACATGTTTTTTGGGAACCGACCTGGACCCGGGAGGGGGCAGATCTTCTGCTCTGGGTCTCGAGCAAAGATCTCCTATTGACGCAATCAGCGTTATGCAGAGACAGCTGGCAGGTGGGGAATGGTGTTCTGACGATGCAGGGCCTTAATCTCGGCTGGGTGGTTTGCCCGTCGTACTAAAGACCACAAGAAAATCCTCAATGAAACTTTCAGAGAAGGTGAGTACATGTACCTCTTTGATAGGCAGGTTAGCCGCCAACGGGGAGAGGAAAAGACATACAAGTACAAGAAGTAGGGGGAAATATGCCTCAGTGCTAAGGCGTTGAAACTTTGACATGCACCATTATGAGATCAACATTGCCCGCAAACTGTTCACCTCGCCACCATCCTGCTTTTACGACCTGTCAAGCTTGCGGACTGTTCGACTTAGGCAGGTTGACGAAAGCGTGTGCTGCGGTGGACCATGGACCGCCCTCAGGTCGTAGAGCTCCGATGCATGGATGCGTTGTCATATCAAATGCAGGTTTTCAGGTATTTAGGACAGGGTTGCTGTCGGGCGAACCTCGCATCAGACTCTGGGTATGATGTTTCATCGTCGACATGGCAGATGATCTGGAGATGGAGCAAATGGCTGTCCGCCCCTGACTCTCTGGCTTGGACGAGAGACAAATTTAAGAGAAGTCGAAGACATTAAGGCGGCTGCGGGTGGCTCAGACGCTTCAACGGGTTAAGAGAAGGTTCTTTCACATCTGCAAGAAAGGGACGCCCTGAAAACACAAATGCATCTGACCAACCTTAGTTGGGAACTGCATGAACGGCAGCACGTCTCCCCACTAGAGGCTATCCAGTGCGGGCCTGCATCCGGGTGTAGTAGCAATGCTAAGTTTTCAACAAGGTGGATGATTTTCATGGCAAAGCAGTCGACAAAAGTCTCGAGGTTGTGGCGGCCAGGTCGTAGAGTTTCAGTGACCAATGAAGCAACCAAGAACCCTTGTGAAATGCAGAATAGGATGAGGAGGGAGAGGAGAGAAGAGAAATTCAATGAAGGTCCGAGTTTCGAGAAAGAGTTGATTGTCTCCACGAGATCGCCGCATGTGGCATAGAGTTTAATAAACAACCTGGTGTGTGTCGGGCGCCAGCATAACGGGCAGTCCCTCGTACTGCGTCGAGCATATCTGCTTTCCAGGGTTGCCCTTGACACCTGTTGCATCAACTTCGGCATTGTCCGACTGCGTTATTTTGCGCCTAGAACCTCGAGAGGCCTGGCCAAAGACCACTCCCGCATCGCCTTTGCTGATTCATGGGGAATCACAAAGACCGGGTGGATGGGCTTGACTCCCGTTCCCGCTTCAAAGACCTTACTAGAATCGCTCTCGCTAGGGACTTGGGCTTCCCAGAACTGCCAGGAAAAGGCTGGACCAAATGGATCGTCGCTGTGGGAGGTTCGATAGGAATGGGTGTGTTCGACTATGCTGAGCCCAGAGAGATTATAACAAGTGTGGTACGAGTCGGGCCTCCTGTGCAGCGCTGTTAGTATGTATGCTTGAAATGAGCTCTGGGGACAACTGACTTTGATGGTTTGTCCCTAAGTCCACCATCACTTGCCTGACAACAGCATAGGATATACCTTGCCAGCCCTTCACCACTGTACAAATTGTCGCTCACGTCCCTCGCTTTCTCATCAGCCGAGTCTCGAGGACCGCTCACCGCCGCTTCTACCAGAGGCCAGCAACCACCCAGCCAGTGGCTATAACAACCATCCACCAGTTTATTTGTGCGGCCAGCGAACCCTCCTTCAGGCGCATATTGTCGGGAAGAGAGCCACCATACCAGTGCATCGACATTAAGAAACTTGCTAAATGTTTCGCGCGGTGGACCATATAGGCACAGACAGGCCAGTGCACAAAAGGTGTATGATCCGTGCGCTTCACCTCCTGGTGACGCTGCAATTCCACCCTCATAGGTCTGGCAGCGCGAGAGATACTCCCCGAGTCCATCCTTGAACGTTTTCAGACCTGAAATACGAGCCGGAGATTCAGGAGGAAGTGAGAGAGGAAGGTTGAGAAGTGAAATGGCAACCAAGGCACACAGAGCGCCCCGAGTATCTTCCTCACCTCCTTCACATATCCGAAAGCCTCCATCTGTCTGCTTGAGCCGTCCTAGCCAGTGCCACATCTTTTCACGATCGATAAGTGAATATGCCTCTTCGCCGCCGACTAGAGCCAGAGACAGCAACGCTGCATAGGTTCCAGCTTGGTGCGCATCTTGACCAAAGCCACCACCAATGCCGCCGTTGGGGTGTTGCATGGGATAAAATGTTTTGACGACTCTGTTAGCACTGTCAGGCCACCGTTTTGTCATATACCCGAAACATGAAGGATCAGGAGAGCGTAGAGGGCATTTGCAGAACAAGTGTTACCTCGAGCGGAATACTGTGATATCTTCACCCAGCATGTAAAGTCCTGCTAAGCCCCAGTACACCATCCAAGGACGACTTGCATCCATACCAACGAAAGGAGCAGGGAATTCGTCCAAGTGCTGGTTTAGAAATCCAATGTGCGCTTCTTTGTCTAAATAAAGCAATCCAAACTCATTGAAATCAAAAGGACTTCGGGATGGGTCGTTGATGCCATTGAGGAGAGGCAAGCACTCGCTCATGGTTTCGTCTTGTATGGTAGATGTTTCGGTCTCCAATGTATCGAGCAGCCGTGGTGCTTGGAGGAAGTATGGGGGTATCTGATGGGCGGCATCTTCCATGGTGGCCATGACAATGTTGAGGGAGACTCGAGGGCGCAGAAGTGTGAAGGTGTGAAGGTGTAGTCTTGGATGAAGAGAGAGATCAAGTGTTCTCCCTCAGTGCACATACCACATGCTCATCACAAAGGGGCACTCTGCGTGTTGGTATTGTTGTCAAATTCCACACTGTTGACGAGTGTCGAGCACTTCGGGACAACCACAACAGTTGCCTCGCGCTTTCCACAGCAGACCTGGGCTTGAAAATCGAATTTGAACAAAGCGAAAAGCTTGTCTTTGGCTAAATTTTATTCAGTCTCAACTCACTTCGAGATAAAGGCGAAATTGACATTGATCGTTGCGGTAGAACTGACTGCGGGGTAATTGTCAACAAAGGAGTGCAGCCGCCCACCACCAAAAGGCTTTCAAACCTCGCCAATACCAGCCTCAGCGCCTTGCCCACCGTCGACTTGTTCACGCACTCAACACATTATATCCAGCTTCACCCTGTGTACTATGTTTACATAAGGGACAAGCCCACTGATACAAAGCTCACAACTTCGGAATCGATCTTCCTTCACCCCCAAGGCTGGACGTACAAACCCTACGAAGCAGGGGTATCCCGACTTGGCCAGTCCTCAAATACCACTGACCACGAACCTCAAAGATCGAGAAGATGCGGTGTTGCCCGACGTGGTCGGTGACTGGATGGGTTTGGTAGGCATTGTCGGACAAAGACCATGGCTACCCGTTGTGTGGGTTCACCGTCGCAATCGAGGAGCCGCACTGGACTGAGACAGCGATGTCCTCCATATCTCAACATCTGAAACGTCGGTCTGTCACCAACCTTTCTCTTGAACTAGATTGACATATCCGTGGGGGAGACTCCTATGTCCTGTCCTTGAAATCGCCAGCTGGAGCTCTTACCCTTCAGGAGCAGCAAGAGCCCGGTGGCTAGCCACAGGCGGTCTCAGAGCCTACACCGCTCTTCAAAGAGGAGCCTGCCCTCGTGCATGGTGTTCAGCTTGCAGTCCTTAATATGCCGTTGTCTCAAGTCACCGTGGACCAGGGGTTATACGTAAACTTGCACATGCCGCTGGAGACAGCGACGAGGCTGCCTTTTGAGGGAACATACAGGCAAGGGAGGAATAATACAGATTTCTACAAGGACAACTTGTGTTTGGACAGAGAGGCGCAGCACAGATCTCGCCCTCTCACAACCGAAGAGTTTGCACGGCAGACGCGATGGGAAGAAAGGACTTGCCCTGGCCGGACTAGCTGTCAGCACCGTTGGTTGATGACATGCATTAGCGGTGAGCTTGTTTGTGGCATTGCGACATCTCTATGGTCAACCAGGGATACTCGTATTGTTGCGGTAAGACTTGGCTTGTGCCCTGCTCCAGTCCGCAGGAGGCTGGGGGCAATCATTCCAGGTGTCTTGAACCCGGATCCTGCACGGTAGACCAGCGCTATCATGGGTAAAAGAGAGGAAGGGATGGTAAAATTGATGTTGGCTGTCGAGACGAGCAGCAAGACCACTGTCTGAGGAAGGCTGAGAGGGAGCGGGAGCGGGATCAGGACACGGGCTATTCAGACTTCATTGCCGCGTCGTTCGTTGTGCCGTGTCAGCGGTTGAAGAGGCGAGACTGGGGGATGAAGGATGGCAAACAGGGCGCAGCCACCAAAGGTCCTAGCATATTGGAAATGCAATGATAACAACACTGCAATTCTTCGTCGCTCGTTTCAGTAGTAAATACTGCGTTCCTCTCCTGTCTCTCACCTCCAGATTTTCATCTTCTCTGCATGTTGTTCCTCCTTGAAAAGTATAGGTGTTCTGTAAGTACTGCACCGGAGCGAATCCACCGGCAACCCTTGTTTTGAGCCCCGGGAAAATACGGGGGGGTCCTCGAGCTGCTACTGCTGCCAAGTGCCCACACACGGTCCTACTCAGTCCTCCTCGGTACCCAACTCCAAATACCCGGACCGCCCAGTCAATACCTCAATAACGACCACCGCCGAGAGCCCACCTGACCAACCAACGAAGCATCACTTTTCTTAGGCTGGGGGCGACGGCGGGGTTCCTCAACAAAAGATATCCGACGCCAAAGAACGGAATACAGCGTCCCCTGAGTACCTGGTAAGTCCTCCCTCTCACACAATAATACCTCATCCTCACCTCCAAAACTGAAATCACCAACGAACTGACACAAAGACAGAGAGGGTATAGATAGTATCTCACACAGCTGCTCGTACGTCCTCGCTTCTGCCCAGTATCGACATCCACGACAGCGGTTGGCTGAGCGGACGAACAAAGCTCTACCCCCCGATCTCCTTCACCGAACTCCGTTAGGCCTCGTTCAAGTCAACACAAATGGGGCTGTGATTCCACCAGAGCGCCATCTTCCCATCTCCCCTCGGCCTGATCAGCCAGTCACCACGCGTCGGAAAGTCGGGCCCAGTCTTATCCAGTCCAACGAGACTTATCGGTTGGCCGCTTTTGAGGCCTCATCCTGCAGGCGACCTTTGGGACCTTTGGCTACCTTTGGCTCTCTTTGGCTCACCTTGGGCTCTGTATGGCCCCTCACCACTCACCATTGACCAACTGAGTGTCTCCAAGCACCACAGGGCGATCCCACGAACCACTAGCATCGCACCGACAAAAGCCCCGACACCCACATCGCCCGCTGCTACTCTTCTCCCGCTCTCTCGTGTTACCCCCGCCCAATTCGACGATCCGCAAAACCCTGCATGCGCTGCTCACCGCCTCTTCTTACTATCTCTCGCCATCGCACCTGACGCCCGCCTCTCAAGTCGAGCTCGTCTTGAGCGGTCACTTCCTGTAACTCTTGTCCTCATTCTCTTTCCTCTTTGCCTCTTTCTCTCGACAGCTCACTCCTGCTCTTGCTTCACGAGGCCCGAGAGCGAGAGCATCAATCGACCAGTCTATCCTCGAGACGCCTTGTCCTCCAGATCCCGCATATCTAATCCCACGAGGCTGACTGTCTGACACATCTTGTCAACCATGGCGGGCAACGTCGCCCTGACCAGTGAAGATCTTGCCTATGACCTCGATTCCAGGAGCGCCTCGTTCTTCCGAAATCATGCCTGGTCTATACCAATGGACCAAGTAGCTGCCCCTCGGCCAGATCCAAGGAGGAACATTTCTCCCATCCAGACCAACAGCCATGGTCTGCGACAGACCACAATGGCAGAACATCCCATGATGGATACTTGGAGGTTCCAACAACAACACCAGCAGCACCATCAACAACCGCAGTCACAGCAGACTGCTATGGACTATGCCAATCCTCAGCAGCCGTACGATTTGCATTACGATGCCCAGTTTCACGGCATGTCTTTACACCATTCTCAGATGACCATGTTGCCGGTGTCGCAGGCTCCGCTCGCTCGCTTATCGCTCGAAGCCACCTATCTTCCCCTCGGGTCCGGCATCGAGGGCATGCCTCAGAATTGGGCCGAACTTCAGAGCGAATTGATCAACTATACGACGACAGATGTTGGACTTGCCGTCTCACCGTATCATCAAATGACCAACTCTCCCACGGGCTCCCATCTCGAAGTCCTTTCGCAGCCCAGTTCCTGTGACGAACACGGGTGGACCATGGTTGAGCCCAGAACGTCCTTTGAGTCCTACGAGCGACAATTCTTCGTTGATCCTAACCAGACTGTGCACAATAGAACCTTGTCCGAATCGTCATACTCAGACCTAGAACAGCATAGCCATGGCGCACTGATGTCCAGTCTCGACTTAGGTGCCTCCCAGGCTGTGTATTCACCAACCACCCTGTCAGATAGCGACTTTGAATACCCCGGACATACTCACCGCCTGTCAATAGACCACAGCTCGGGCTCCATGAGCGTCAACCCTTCAGCCCTCGTGCGCCCCATTCCAATCCCCTCGGCCAAGTCGTCCGCACCGTCGATACGATCCCCCGGATCCCAAGGCTCAGCCGGCTCTCCTGGCCGCAAACCTTCCCGAAAGAGCCCCATGGCCGCCAAGTCAACAGATAAGGTTATGAAAAAGTCATCACCTAGTGGCAAGGCAGAAGGGGAGAAACGAGTTGGCCGAAGAAAAGGACCGCTCCGGCCGGAGCAACGGAAACAAGCCAGTGAAATCCGGAAGTTGAGAGCCTGCCTGCGATGTAAATTCTTGAAGAAGACCTGCGACAAAGGAGAACCTTGTGCTGGATGTCAACCGTCGCACGCTCGCCTGTGGCAAGTCCCTTGCACTCGCATCGACATCAAGGAGATTGGCTACTTTTTGAAGGACTGGAAGTTCGACTATGAGAGACACATTTCGCTCGGCTTCTCTGTGGGTAATATCAAGGGGTTTTCGGATACTGAGAAGACGCTATTCATCACCCACGGTTATGGTCATATGCTCCCCGTCACCGCTCGAGAAGTGTATGTCAGGGATGAGACGTGTTTGAAGATGGATTGGATCGAGGCCAACTCATTCGCGCCCGATGGCTACGAAGTATCGACGGCCAAGCTCTCAGCTGGCATGGAAGGCATCTCGACAACCATGCTAAGTGATTACCTTGACCGACATATTGACGGCACTGGCACATTTGAGAAATTTGTGGACGATTACTTTGAGGGAACACCTTTCCTCTCACAAATGCTCAAGACGGCTTACCGGTTCTACTTCAAAACCGGATCGAAGATCATCAAGAAGGCTTTGAAGTTGATGCTAGCCTATAATTTAACGCTGCACATCACCATGGTCGAAGGAGTGCCAAGCGAAGAGTCTTTCGTTGGTAAAATTGAAGAGCAGACATCCAAATTCTTCGGCAAGACGATGGCTCCCGTCATGATCAACTTCCAAATCAAGTGTGCCATGGCTGATATGTGGCGCGAGCTGCACAAGGATGTACTCGAAGAACTGTCCAGCCTATATTCGAGCGTGTACAGTGGAGATAAGCTCAAGAACTGGCCCACTATCTTCATCCTTGCATCAGTCTTGCTGGCAGTGTGGGAATGCATGCAATTTGATTGCCACTACCGTGTCCCCGATTCTGCGGCCGTAGAGAAGTTCTGCAACGACATGGAAACCACGCCCGTCGGTGTCGTGGTCGGCCTCTTCCAGGCCATCTCTCAAAAACTCCCATCCTTCCTTGAATGGGATACTTCCAAGCACCATGCGCTCCTGGCATCCAACATGGATGTATGCAACACGATGAGCGAAGTCCGAGAACATGTGACGAGATATGGTGAGGAGATTTCCATGCCCCTCTTTTGACCAAGTGCAAAGAACTAATGCGGTGTGTAGAAAACTACTTACGAGGTCGACCCAACGCACGGTTCGACCGCAAAGATTTTGATTCGTTGTCGAACAAATTCCTTGCCAAACTTGTGATCCGAGCGAACTAGGCATACGATGCATTTACGTCTTACGATGAGAAGGTCCTGTCATTGCAGATCTCACGAGGTATTCGACGTGTCTCACGATAGCATATATTGCTTCTTGATTTTGTTTTCACGTGTATCGGATGGACGACTGATGAACGACCATGGCGTTATGACGACGACGACGACGAATGCACTCATTAGCATGAATCTAGCCCTTGAATTTTTTTTACCACGCATATATACAAATTTTTTTTGTGTCTGGAGGGGTCGGTTGAGGGTAGCGGGGATGGGATGGAGCACCACAGCCGCGGGAAGCAGTGAGATTTCTTTTGAAAGCATGAACAAGGATGGCGCTGTGCTTGCGACGAGCGTTTCCTAACAGATCCTGCACCATCTTGACCACATGTCTATACTTGGCGAGGTTAGCGGCTCTGAATGCACCATTTCAGAAATTATATAGACGTCAAAAGGAGAGAAAAAAATAACTCGAAGAAAGAGAAGGCTCCTCACGGCAAACTGTCGGGCAATTGTCACTGGCATGGTCATGTTTTGTTGACGGAGTGGTGGGATGGTGTGTCTTTCTTGATGTAACGGGAAGGACAGGGACGGTGGTGGCGATGAGGATGGGGGGTATGCGATACATGGAGAGCGTGTCTGTCAACCATGAAATGTCGAGTCACTATCACTATCACTGTCAATCACTCGCAAATCGAGATGTCATTGAATAGTCGAGCAGAGAAAAAAAAGGTCATTGAGATCATTTCCACTTTCCTAGCTTGCCAGTACAGGTACTTCCGTGTAATACAGTAGGCGAGGACGGGGATGACAGATGGACGATCCCGTTCCAATGGAGCACGCGATGATGGCGGCCATGGAAACGGGAGGCACCGAAGACCTGGCACAGGCAACACAGGCAGGGAAGGCATTCCTGATTGAGTAGTGGTGGCTAAGATCTTGAAGAAATAGTGGAACATTCTATAGGCGTGGGCAGTACCTACAATGCCTAAATCGTACGAAGTGCCTGAGGAAGGTGTAGGTCCGACTGTGCCACTGTGGCTTCCGGCTGCCCAGTGCCCACTATTATTCACTGCGAAACTGCCCACTTTTGCCCCGGAACCCTGATCCGAAACCCGTACTGACGTACTACCACAAGAACAGTAGGTAAATTACTTGTTTCTTCTTCCTGTCGGTATTATTATTATCAACATCAAATGAAATCAAACGAGACTTGGTACCTCATTGCGAAACCCAAGAAAGCGCCAGAAACATCCCCATCTTCGTCCCCATCGAATTTTTCCTTCTCCCGAAGATGAGCCTCAATTGACCGGACCGTGTCCATCGCACCCTCTCACATGCCTCTTGTGTCACTTGGCCCTCCTCATTGACCCTCGCACCTCGACAACGACTTCAACTCCTTGACCTCTCCAAAGCTTCTCCTAGTTGGCAAATAAACATCAAGACGCCGTTACAGATCTTCACACCACGCCACCGAGCACCGATTCTCGTGGAACTCAGAAGTGACGCTTGGGAAGTGACGAACAGCCGACGTTACTAGCGAATACGGATCACGCCTTCCTCAATTCATCTGTTTGCACCTGCATCTCGATTGCGTTTTGACTGGCTTGAAAGAAAGCATTGGGCATTGGGCAGGAATTCATCCTCCCAGCACCAAACAAACTTATTGCAATCCATCCACTTATCAAGTTGACATCTCTGCCTTTACAGTCACCTCAACTTCTTTTCCACCTCTCCAGTCTGCAACAACACCAGATCACACACCAAGGTTGCTGGGGTCATTTCACAACTCCCACCAATACCCCACCGTCACCCGTTCACCCACCAGCATTCTCACCTGGCTTCGTACCTTGACCCTTTCCCTCACATCCTCCATCTGATCATCTTCCGAACTCGTTCTGAGTCAGCTCTGACAATTCAAAACATTAAGGGGCTTCTGCAGCAACCTGGACAAATTCTGTTGCAGACATGCCATCCGTGAACGACAGCCCGTCGAAGGTGGAATCACGACTTCTCCTGGTCTCCAACCGTCTTCCAATCACCATCAAGCGCTCCCCCGAAGGGAAATATGATTTCTCTATGTCTTCAGGAGGTCTTGTCACAGGTCTAAGTGGCTTAGCCAAGAGCACCAAGTTTCAGTGGTATGGCTGGCCAGGACTGGAAGTCCCTGAAGACGAGGCTGGCGGCGTGGTCAAGCGACTGAAGGATGAGTTCGATGCTATTCCCGTTTTCGTGGACGACGAGTTGGCTGATCGCCACTACAATGGATTTTCAAGTACAGCTCCCCATAGTACTCGTTACTAACGACAAGTCCAGCTAACAAACCCTAGATTCTATCATGTGGCCGCTCTTCCACTACCATCCTGGCGAAATCACATTCGATGAGTCCGCTTGGAATGCTTACTCAGAAGTCAACCGTCTCTTCGCTCGGGCCATTGCCAAAGAAGTCGAGGATGGCGATCTTGTCTGGGTCCATGACTACCACCTGATGCTCTTACCCCAGATGCTTCGCGAAGAGATCGGGTCCACCAAATCCAACGTCAAGATTGGGTTCTTCCTACATACCCCTTTCCCATCGAGTGAGATATACAGGATTCTGCCCGTGCGAAATGAAATCCTGTTGGGGGTTCTACACTGTGATCTGATTGGCTTCCACACCTACGACTACGCTCGACACTTCCTTAGCAGCTGTTCGCGGATCTTGAACCTCACCACCACGCCCAACGGGGTCGAATTTGAGGGCAAAGTTGTCACAGTCGGTGCTTTCCCGATTGGCATCGACCCGGAGAAGTTCACCGAAGGCCTGAAGAAAGAGAAGGTTCAAAAGCGCATTGCTGTGCTGGAGGAAAAGTTCAAGGGCGTCAAGTTGATTGTTGGTGTAGATCGGCTCGATTACATCAAGGGTGTTCCCCAGAAACTTCATGCCCTCGAAGTTTTCCTTACAGACCACCCCGAATGGATTGGCAAGGTGGTTTTAGTCCAAGTCGCCGTGCCCAGCAGACAGGACGTTGAGGAGTATCAGAATCTCCGAGCAGTCGTCAACGAGTTGGTGGGACGCATCAACGGAAAATTCGGTAAGTTGCTTCCAAGTCTATCCAGGTTCACCTAGAGTCTGGCTTGCTGACAACCCTAGGCACGGTCGAGTTCATGCCCATCCACTTCATGCACAAATCGGTCAACTTCGACGAGCTTATCGCCCTTTATGCCGTCTCAGATGTTTGTCTTGTCTCCTCGACACGAGACGGCATGAACCTGGTATCATTTGAGTATATTGCCTCTCAGGAACAGCGCAAAGGCGTTCTGATACTCTCGGAATTTGCCGGTGCCGCACAGAGCTTGAACGGGAGTATCTTGGTGAACCCCTGGAACACCGAGGAACTGGCAAGTGCCATACAGGAGGCGGTAACCATGAGTCCAGAACACCGTGCTATCAACTATGCCAAGCTCCACAAATATGTGTTCAAGTACACCAGGTGAGTTATTCCACAGTCTTGTATCCAGTCGTTGCTCGTCAGCATGTCTAACGAAAGTCTCAAGTGCTTTCTGGGGTCAATCTTTCGTCGCCGAATTGACCAGAATATCCGCCCAAGGAGAGAAGAAGTTGAAGTTACGGCGAGCATCCCTGATAAAATCGCCGTCTCAACAACCGCCTTCAGAGAACAGAGATGGGGAGTCACAGTCGAAGCCAGCATCTCAACCGTCCCAGCCAACCACAAAAGCAGACGTCGAAATCGATGGCCAGCCAGCATCGAGAGGTGATGTCGCGGCTGCTGATGGAATCTCAAAAGAAAAGTCAGCGACGATATGATATGAAGGGATGAAGCTCGATAATGTGTGGCAACGAAAGGATACGAGGTCATGTGGTAGAGTTCTCCCGTGAGCTCTTCCCGTTGCATTAATTACAGTCATGCGGTAGTACTTTAGACAAAGGGCCAAAGCAACACAGAAAGACAGGGCAAGGCGCTGAGGGGAACCATAGACGGGAAATGAATTCATCCATCGTTGCGAGTATCTCAATAGTACCTGGGCAATCGAGTCTTGTCGTGGCTTGACACATGAATAGACATTGCATTCGCTTTCTGATCAGCTGCCACAGTAGTACACCCTCTGTCTATATGTACGGTGCATAGTCTTTTGACTGTTTACCAGGTAGACACAAGTTGATCCCCTCTCGACCCGTATAATCGGAAAAGAGAAGAGTTCGGCTGACCAGCTATGCGTGCCTTTCATCCAGCCAGCCTTTTTCTTTCTTTCTGTGCTCCTTGAAAATTTGACATTTCACATTGTAAGTATGTGTAAGTGTCTCGGATATTTGATCTTGAAACGGATGGATTGATTGATTGATTGATTTGGCCCCAATCAATACTAGCCATATACATGTGCAGAAGTAGTAGTGGTAGCAGGGGACAGTGTACAGTGTTTGGTTCCGCTCGTGCTGCAGTGCCGGCTTCGTCCCTTTTTCGGAGGTCGGTTAAACCGGTGCCTCCCTTGATCTCCCTCTTTACGAGACCCGTTCTCCCTCCACGACGTTGGCGCTTTGGTTTGCTTTCGGCTGGTTCTTCTTGCTGCTGCCGCTGGCCTTTGCATTCCTCCTTCCCTTCTGTCTTACCGCCAACTTCTTGGTCTCGCCCTCGGTGCCGGCCCACCTGCCCTTCTCGCTGCCCACGACCCTAGGCTGTCTCTGAGCGACGGGTACGCCAAAGGGGCTGAGGACCTCGCGGACAATGTACCGCACGCCCTGCTCCTTGACCATGCCGTTGCGGTCGCGCGGCCGGTGCCTCTTGACGACGACCTGGCCGCGGCGGTCTCTCTGCTGCCGGATCGAGGGCGGGAACGCGCCGAACCGCACCACGTCGCCCTCGAGCAGCAGGTTGTGCGGGTCGTGCACCAGGCTGTGCGTCGGCCGCGTAAAGTGTTTCTGGAAGTGCGCGTGCCACACCTGTATGTGCCGCGTCACCCGCACCGTCTTTTGCATCGTCCCAGCCCGCGTCACCGTCCCTACCAGCGTGGGCGAGGTGGATAGGAATTCTGCGTCCGCGTCGGGGATCTCGTGCGAGGTGGATGATGATGATGAGGAGGAGGAGTAAATCAGCGACGGGTCCCAGGACGAAGCCGACGGTGCCGGCGGCGATGACTGTGGTATTTGTGTTTGTGATGAGCTCTGAGGGATGGAGGAGGTAGACGATCTTTTCAGGTCGGGATCCGTCGACGCTCGTGAGAGGATGCTGGGGGCAACGTTCGCTCCGTCATCGCTGGCTTTGCCCAGTATCGAGGCCTCGAGTCCCTCCGAGGATGACGGCGGGAGGTCAGTGACAGGCTGTGCTTGGTGCTTCAGATATGTCGATGAGAATGCTCGGTGTTGCTGCACGGAGACTCGACGACATTGTGATAAACCGCGAGTGGCTCCTCCTCGACGAGCAGCTAGTGACGGCGGCGACGTGAGAGCGGCCGAATTTGCAGACGACTGCGATGACGACGACGCTAGAGTCCTCGCCCGACTAGCACAGGCAGAGGCACGCCGCGCGAGCACCGTCGCAGAAGAGGAGCAGTTCATGATATGAACGATCCGCGGTTTACACAGAACACTTTTCAAAGCCGCGCGAGCAGGAGAAAGGGAGGCCCCCAAACGTAATTGAATCGCTCGCAGGATCAGAGTCCAGGTCGTAAAGTAATGCTGATCGAATTGTGCGCCGTAGAAAGGATGGGGAACAAAGAGCTCCCTCGATGCGCCGTCGACTCGATGTCCAAAATTTTAGGGTGCATTGAATCGGAATCGGAGAAGTTGGTGGAGAGCTCCTTGGACCCAAAGAGCCCGGCCTAGCTTCAGCCTCGCCAACCTCAACCTCAGCCTCCGCCTCAGCCTCGTCCTCGTAACGCTTGACTACGCTACTCGTGCAGTACCAGTGCATTCTGGATCGTGGGAACAGAATACTAGGCACCAAGTCATAATTACTGGATTTTATCCTCAATGCCTAATCCTACAGTGGTTGCTTTTTGGCTCTCAACGGAGCCATATCCATCGGCCGTCTAACCGCTGCTTTGATGTCTTGAAACGCCACGCCATCCCCCGTGTCGTTGTCACACGTTTGTGATGGATGACGACTATGCCGCCCAAACGTCCTTCCCGACGCCCTCTATCCAGTGGCCCAATTCATTGACATTGCTGTCCCACTCCTTAAGTCGCTGCCTCATGCCCTCAATTTGATTCCGTTCCAGTACTTTAGGCTGTACCCAATTGATCCTCGCAATCTGCGCGACCTGGTCAATCTTGCCTCGCAAAAGCCCCAAGCTAAGCGCCTTCATGATCAGATGCTCAATTTCATCGGGCTTCACATTTGTCTCATGGCTGATGGTCTTGAATGTCATGGCACGGTCGTGCGGTGGTCGCTTAAACACCAGCTCTGTCAACGCAGCCAAGTTGATCTTCTGCCAGAGGAACAATCGATGTGAGTCGAGGATGGGGTCCTTGCTGAGGTTATTGGACATCCGATCGAACGTAGCGAGATCTCCTCGGTTGAAGGCGAAGAGGAGGTCCCGCAGCCATGACTGAGCATGCGGAGGTTTCAGAACGTCAAGGATGGGATGCAGTAGCAGCTCCCCGAAGTTGTAGATCTGGTCCGACACCAGTGCGGCGATGGCCAGGTTGTATGCTCTATGCTGTCGTTGCTCGGTGTTCAATTCTGTCTCATCTATGCATGCAAGATACAGCAATGAGTTTCTGTAGTAGGATGTGTAGTCGTTCGCAGCTTGGAAATAGTCGGCATTGACTCGGTAGAAGGCCGCGTGGACAACAGTTTCCACAAAATCGAACTGGTCCAAAGTCTTTTGCGCCTTCTCTAGTTGTTCCTTTGCTTTTGCCGCCTCTCCTAATCTCAGGTAAACACTGGCCAGCTCGGTGATCGTGTAAACGTGGGCTTCTTCGGAATCTGGTTTGGCAACTCGATCGGCGAGAGTTTTGAGAAATTGACTCCGCTCTGTGTCATCTGTTGAAAGATCAGGCTTTTGTTCCCTGTGCGAGAGTTCTAGGACTTACCCTTGATTTGCGCCGAGGCGCTCAGTGCCAACTTGACAAGTTTGAGCTGATTGATCTTGTCTGCGAAACTGATGATGAATGTGTTGTAGATGGGTAATCTCTGAGAAGTGCTCTCTGGGTTCGAGAAGTACTCCAGGAGAGTATCTGTCAGTTGATGCCATAGCTTACGTTCCCAGAGGTCTTCGAATGTGAGGAAGAGGTGTTGAAGTTCCGTGGGTGCTTCATCTCGTTGTTCTGCGAGGAAATTGGAGATGGCCTCTGGATCGTTGTGTTTAGACATGGCGGTACCGAAGTGGAAGGAAGAAAGAGAGGTGCCGAATGAGAACCGTCTTCCGGAGTGTGTGAACGTGAGAAAAGACGGGGAAGATGGAAAGAATGCGTATGCAAATGGCGGGTTGTGTATGCAGATGCTTTGAGCGGCGGTCGCAGGCAATCGACAGGCGCGTCAACCCTCCCTTAGGGTCACGTGTTCAGCCTCGCTGGCAGAATGCAAACTGCAAAATACGAAATAATCTTAATGGCCTTCTATTCTATCCTTTCGAAAGATCGACCATCACCATCGCCTTCGAACAACCTCGTCAAATGCTTCATGCAGAACGCCAAAGTGGTAGGACCCTGTATACTACACTCACTTAATAAGTGATACTCATCCTACGGCTCAGAGGATTCTCTTCCATTTTGGACATCACCAACAATCCTCAGTCTGGACTTTGATTCACCTTCGTTTCTGAACGGCAGGATTGTCCATTTTGCTGCTCCTGCTCGTTGCTCCTGGACATACATATCCAACAGCTGCTGGTGGAAACCATCGAGTACAGGACACCAACATCGAGCCATGTGCAAGAGCGCCGAGCGATTTTGAACTCGCCCACGTTGGACGGACTCAGATGAAATCCAGCAGAAATGGTCATGTCGCGCCGGTGGCAGGACCTAAGAGCTGGTCGCCGAGTAGAATCTCTAGCCTTACCTTTTCTGCCCGACGTATATGAAGAAGAATTGACTGTGGCGTCTCTTATACCTCTCGGTGGGCCCAACAATAAGTAGAAGAATCTTTACCTCTGCCTGCTGCTAGGTGTCTGGCCGTCTAACGGCATCAAAAAAGCAATGTGCGTGCAAGGCGAATACTTGTCACCGCGAAAGCCGGCCCATGACAGACAAACTTCCCTGTCCAGAGTGATGCGCAACTCAAGTAGTCTTGTATGTCTCCTCAATCCAAATGCGGGGCCAGGTATCTGTTTAGATCAAACCAGAACAGTCCAGATATCTCATCCACTGTTCGCCAGAAAGTCATCATAATTGACTTCAACCGGACCTGGTACGTAAATGGGAGATCTTGGAATAGGGTGACCTTATCCAGAACATTTTGGCGTTTCGCTGGGTCGCGAACTTCGAAAGCTGCCACGAGAAGGGCAAAATCCATTGACACGACCGTCCTGTTGACCAGACTAGAGATCGAGTCAAACTGATCGAGGATCATGTCGGACAGGGCTTCGGAGCGATTCATACATGTGCCAAAGGGATGTCGGAGTCGATGAGCAATCAACAATAGGCTCTGACGAAAGATGTGTGCCTGTGAAAGCATATGCGCCACCTCACCCTGAGAATATCGGCTCAGGAAGTCCGTTGGGTACGTGGGTCGCCAGTCAGATATCTTGGCTTCCAGAGACTGGAGTTGCATCAACAAGCTCTGATGGCTGTCTTCGGCGGGATGGCAAAGCTTGGTGGATAGGATGCAGATGTCGTAGCCGTAGGAGAGCAGTGGTGCTGACAATCCTAGATAGCGGTTTATCAAGCCTTCTGCCCGGTTTCGGAATCGAAAACTAGGCACCTGATGCCGAAACAGACACCCCTCGAGTTCAATGTGAAGTATGCAGATCAGGAACGCGAGGTCATCGTGGTCGATCTCTGCGTGACCGCCATTGAGAGACTCCAGCACAGGGAGCGTGTATCTGCAGAGGCGAAAAGCGCTGCCACCAACCACGAAGATGTTGAAGGTCGAAACAGCCAAGGCGAGGCTCAAATAGAGAGACCTATCTTGTGGACTGGAGATCTGAAAGGACCGAAACGTGCTGAGAGCTGAGGTGGCTTTGTGATAATAGTAGGTCACATTGAGACGCGTTGCACCTGGAGCTGGATTGTCTGCGCAAATGCCAGCGCATGCCAGAAAAGCATCTTTGAGCAACGGCATGGCAGCATAAAGTCGCGTGGCAATGGCACGAAAATGCTCGTCTGCAAACGTCGGGCCCAGAACGAACCGTGCGAAGAATCTGTCCTTGTCTAATATAACTTCCAGAGACTGTTGCTCGGAGGGTGTCAAGCTGTGAAAGGCAGACAAGTCCCGGGGTACAGCCTGTAGTCGACATTGGACATTTTTCTCGGAATCAGGCCCATTGAAGGCGTTTTTAGGACAGGCAACGGGACTTAAAGATATGGTATCCTGCTGCTCAATTGCTGATGTTGATGAAGACGCCCTCCGTGGTGGAGGCTTGCGGCCAGGTCGATTCAACTTTCGGCGGGTTTCGCAGACACGCCCTAGTCTCAAGCATCTCTCACAGACGGGGGAGCCATTCCAACGGCGACAACATTCCTTGAATGCATGGCAGCGGTCACAGGCCCGTTGCTGTTTGTGGTTGACTTTCATCTATGATCCTTCCCTATCGTCGAAGATATCGTGGTGGTGTATGAGGTACTCGTGTTATCAGCGAAAAGAAAGTATGATATGAAGTGCTGATCGACATGGATGGACCGAGGACGCTGATGGGCCCCACGCCCTGCAGCCTTGCGATTCTCACATGCACCAAGTATTACCTAAACCAGGCTGCGCTCAAGGGAGCCAGGGGAGGTTAGCCGGCGCTAATAATACAAGTGTTGATTTCACCACCATCACCGCCTTCCACTTCATTGACAGACTGCATCATGTAGTAGAGCGCGTCGTCGTTGGTGCCCACCTGAGCTGCATTATGGCTACCATTGCCCCGTCTCGTAGCGACTCTCCAGCGAACATTCAGAGGATAACGTCTCCCTCAATTCCCAGCCCAGGTGGGACACCTTCGTCTTCAGTTCGTCCGTCCATCGATCTCGCCAGGAACAATGCATCCTCTCCCTCTCCCTCGCTTGCAGCCCCTCCGTCAAGCACACAAAGACGCAATCGTGCAGCCCTTCGGGACTACTACAATCTCAAATCCAAAGCAGCTTCTCAAGAGCGTCGAGATGTAAGCCGCAGTGCAAGTATAACCTCCGCGACCTCCGACTCCACGATAGCTACCACCTCTACTGCCATTCCGGAGACAACCCCTTCCCTCACAGCACACTTGGACGACCCATCCTTCGATGCCGAAACATTCGTCTCCGAACTCTTAAAAACTGCCAGTCTACGTGATATCCTGAAAACTGAGAGTGCTCTAGTCAGTGAAATCAGGACACTCGATGGCGAGCGCAAGGCACTGGTTTACGACAATTACAGCAAGCTGATCAAGGCAGTCGGGACGATTGCGGAGATGCAGAAAGGCATGCACAAGGACAAAGAACAGGACATGAGGGCAAATGTGCTGGCCAGACAGAAGAGTGAGCAAAGCTCGGGCCTTGACGGTGTGGCATTGCTGGGCGAGAAGTTAGATGTGTTGTTGAAAGTTGTAAAAGATATTAGTCCAAGTGTACCGGACGGAGAAAGGGCGGCACAGGTGACCGAGGCCAGGCGGAAGAGAACACAAAAGGATATCGTTAAGTGGGCTTTGGAAGCACCCACACGGCTGCAACAAATGGTTGACCGGGAAGAAAGTGAAGAGGCTGAACGGGAATATGTCGCTATCACCGAAGTGTTGGACAATTGGAATGGTGTCGGTGGTGTCGAGGAGCTGCGAGCCAGATGTGCCAAGGTCATGCGGACCGCAAAGGAGGGAACGAGTCCGAGTGAGCAAGGAGACTCAGGCGACTCAGGGTAAAAGAGTTCCGTGACTGTTATTCCCAGTCCATTTGGCGACATCGTCTCTTCCCAAAGCACCTGCTGCTCGGTACTGAACCTCCGAAACCCTGAGAACACCTCATCCTCGGACTGGGCACACTGTGTCCATCATTGCCACCACACTGGATACGGCATCACCCTCACTTATTCCCGCGACCGAATATAAGAATGATTGGTCATTCACCGACAACAGTGGAAGTTGCTACCTAGAGACGACGGGCCTGGATATAGAAATCCAACCAGAGTCAGAGGACGAGCACGGTCAACAAAATGGCAGCCCACAGCAAAGAAAGGTCCACTGATATCGACGCTGCCTCCGCGAACGTCGACTTCCATCTTGATGAAGTATTTCGAGGGGACTTCTGTCAAGTCCACACACATGACTATCGATTGGACCGAAGCGCACAAGTGCACTATCCCTTCATCCTACTAGCTGGGTGAAAGGATACCGAGTTCCAGCTCAGCGACACGCAGGAAACCCGACCTCGAGGCGGAACAGGGTCAACAAAGCCAGCGCCTTTGCAGAAATTTGATATTCGTCCCTCCCTCGGGGGAGTGAAGATGTGTGTATCTGTCTATATAAGCTATCTACTACGTCTGCTGTCGACGATTACAAGCTCGCACGCAGTGTATATGCATCCAAAGGGCAAACAGACCGGAAACCAGATAGACAGACACAGGCATACTCATGTATAATACTTGAAAAGGCATATTCGACTACGTGATGGGTTCGAAGCCAGCTAGACAAAACAGGAATGATGATCCACCAACTAAATCAAAGACGAATCTTTCCTATCTACCCGGTATCCGGATTCCGCACCTTGTGCATTGGAAAAGGGGGGTATCAACCGACAGAGATCGCGATTCGAGGCCTGGAAAGGAAAAAAACACGTAGAAAGAGAATCTTCCATCACAAAGCCCACCATACCGACCTTGTCCAACTCGGTAACATAGACCATTGCACCCCGGAAATTGCTCGCATACTGCAAAACTCCTCATCAGACTCTCGGCCACGCCGCTCCCAGTCCCCAGTATATTAATAAGGACTGTTCACAATCTCATCCCGCAAATGACTCTGCCTCCCACTTCTCCGCGGTGTCATCCCTGCCCCAGATATTCTCGCTGCCGGGCCCATGATGCTTTCCCTGGTAGGTCTTTTGAAGCTCTTGCGACTCACCATATCTACTTCATTAGGTAGTGCCAAGATAACATTCTTATCACTACCAAACTCGAAATTGTCGGCCATAACTTCCGCAGCATAGCGCTTGATCTGATAAGGGTCTCTCTTCCCCTCGAGGACTTTCTTAAGGGTCCAGGTGACTAGGAATGGACCGGTGGAGGTAATGATGCTGGTTTCCTGGCTGTCGAGCCCGGTGTTGAAGTGGGCCCGCGTGAATGAGATCGGTTGGCCTGTTTCATGCTGGAATTGTGCAGCATGATTGGGGTTCAAGCAGAGGCGGCGGGGCTGAGGCTTCGAGTCTTTTGCGAAGGGTTTCTCGAAACCTAGTTTGCCTTCGTTTTTGCCGTCCTTCTGTAGGTTGTCTATCAAAATGAGGTAGGTTTTGCAGGTCCCCAGGATCCAGCGACCATCGGCGCTGACGTCGAGGCCGATGATTGCTTCGCCTAGAGCTGGAATCTGGGTTTTGGCATTGATTCCGAGACGGTCGTACAGTCGGACATCACCCTTGTTGGACGCCAGCGCAATATAACCCTTTTCAGTCGTGGCGGCTGCAGAAAAGTCGTTTTTAGAAAGGTATTGCTTGAGTTGTGCTTCGACCAATTTGTTGCCAGAGACACGGGGATCGATACGGAAGAGGGCATTCTTGCTGTGACCAATGAACGATTGTGCAGCCGTCCGTTGAGAGAATTTCGTTTCTGGGGCAAAATTGCTTACAGCAATGTCGTCGTGGATTTTCCATTCATCCACAACCTTGCCATACTCGAGATCCATGCGATAGAGTGAGTGGGGGTTGTTGGGGTCTTGTAGCACCATGTTCTGATCCTCCTGGTGGAGCATGACCTTGGTCGGAGAGAAAAGTTTGCCCTTGGGAGTTTCAACCTTGGATATGTTTGTAGTGAATTCGAGATGCTTGTTGGGCAGATGTTTGAAGACACCAATCTTAGAGCCGCGAATGACAAAGGATCGATCGTTTTTAGTGCCAACAGCGAGTTGGGAGTTGACATTTCCGTCTTTGTCGTCTAGATCAACATCATCCTCCGACTCATCCTCGTCATAGTGCTCGCTTCGCGGGGTGTCTCCTTCGTCCTCTTCGTCCTCTTCTTCGTCGACTTCCTCCTCCCCTTCATTCGCATCGTTCATAGTCAAATCATTGAAAGCTTCCAGTACGTATTCGCGTTCCTGGTCTTTCACCTTGGACCACTTTGTCTCATTCAATTGCTCCCACAAAGCCTGCATGACACCCTCTTGAAAATTTTCCAGAACGGCCTGATCCTTGAACCGTAGCAACCAAGAATAGGCAGATCCATCATCGGTGTAGTGGTTGAAAATTGCAGACAGATAGTCGAAGTTGAAGACTGGATTGATATCAGGCACTATGGCTTGGCCTAACCATTCCCGACCGGTGGAGCTGGTTATTTGAAGCCAGTATTGCCAGCCCCCAAGATCTGTCACAACAGCCACCACGGATGGATCTTGAAGGACAAAAGTCCCTGTTGGGAAGTCAAAGAGGTGAAGCTCTCCAATCTGCTTGGTAAGGACTTCTCCTGATCGCGGAGCGGATTTTGCAGGGGGTGCCTCCGTGGGGCCAGCGTCTCTTGTCTTGGTTTGGTTTGATTTGGTGGGCGTTCTGACGTCCTTCGCCATGTTCTGCGCTGCTTCTTTAGATGTTGGTTTGGGGTCGAGCGCAGGTATTGAGCTCGCGGCTGGGATGGCGTCGTCTGAGTCAAAGTAGAACTCTTGCAGTTCAGCGTCTGTAGCCCTCTGAGCAGATCTTCGGTATTTCCTCTCGAACTGACAATCGATTGCGGCTAGCAGAAAAGTCTGGATCTTTTCTTCTTGGACTGAAGAGTCACAAACAAATTCGTAGAGGTCTCCGGGGTCGCCGCTCAGGTCGCGCCAGGCTAAGACTGTTTCGCCAGCTGACCGCTTTTCCGACCTGAAATGGAGACTCTGGTCCAGGAGAAAAGTCTTCTCATCCTTGTCTAAACCCTCAGCGCCTGCGTCGTCGTCGTCCTCAGCAAGTTCTTCTTCCCCCTCCTCGTACGCTCGCTGGACAACCAGCTGGTATTGATGTTCTTGTCCCGTGCGTCTGATGCTGGCAACAGCGTCTTTGTAGATGAGTTCAGAGTAGCCTTTTGGGGAAAGAGGGCGGACGAGGTAGAGTTGGCCTTGAGGGATTTCCGTAATGACCTCTTTGGAGCTGTCTCCAAAGAGATATTTGCTAACTGCAGAAGTATGTTTGTTAGTTTCTAGATGCGCAAGTTGTAGACAGCAGGCAGGGAGTTAAATTACCGTTTTTGATCATAAACATGATGGCGGGGTTTGCCTCAAAGCTGCAACGAGCCGAATGGGACTTTAGCCCCTGCGCGACCGGGCTAGAAGGAATGTGAGGGTGGACCGCGGTTAGATCTGATTATTGCAGGGGTTCAAGAGGATAGACAACCGCGTTTTGAGGTATTCAGTCCATCGCCGTTATTGCAGGAAACAAAGGTTGGAAGATAAACAATTCGCAGGCCCAGGCAAAGTTTAGGGTGAGGTGAAGGCGAGGTGTGCCCCATGACGCAACAGTCCTAGGGACTTGCTAGGCAACTGCGGACCCCATCAAGGCACAGGCCAAAGTTTCGGGACCAAGCGACTAAACAAGCACTACTTAAAACTCAGCCTGATGGTGGGAGAGGCGAGGCTGAAACGGATCCTTCAATGTCACATCACGCCAGGCAACTCTACCTGCGATCTTTCTCCCTACTTTGTTTCTTTCGAAAAGTCAACAAGCCGCGTCTTGCACCCAACACTTTCACACTCAGTCTTTCAGATTCCCTACCCTAGGCTATTAGCTTGCTTATGGCATCAAAGGAAACTTCAAACACAGAAAGACGAGATTCCTCCTCTCAACGCAGTAATGCACGGCCGACTCTGGCCGACAACCCTCACCATCCCAATTCAGCCGCATATCTAGCATATCCAGTCAAACACGTTGTCTCCAGCCTCTATCGCCGTATGACGGAACCTCCCGAAAACCCTGTCAATAGACTCCTCGGTGCCCCCACCATCTCGACCTCCTCCTCAGGCGTGTATACTCCTCCAAGACGAACAGCGTCTCCCTTCCAGCCCCCGCCCCTCACCCCCCTCGAACTGCGACACCCATTATCCCAGAAAGCCGCGGGCTCGTTGCTCTTGACCCGCTCACTGGCCGAAGAAATTCGACTTTTACTCCCTCCAAGACTTCAACTCATTGATCACTGGACATTGGCATATTCACTAGAGGCTCATGGATCCTCGTTGGCGACCTTGTACGAACACTGCGCCCACGTATCGACCTACACTCAGCGCTCAGGATATGTCCTAGTAGTAAGAGACGGATCGGCATCAGCAACAAATGGATCTGTCTTTGGTGCGTATCTCTCGGACGTACCCAAACCATCTCTTCATTACTTTGGCACCGGCGAATGTTTCCTCTGGCGAGCAAGCATATTGCCCGCATTGCGCAACCTGTCTACAAACCTGCACCCTGGTTCGGAGCCCGCCTCCCAAGATTTGCTAGAGTTGGCTGGACTGCCACCGCCCCCCAGTGCCGATACCACCAACCTGCAACGATTCACTACGATTCGGGGGGAGCGTCGGACACCCTCGACGTCGACCACCTCATTACCACAACCTTCCAACACCAACGAACCATCCACACACCTACAATCAGCTCCTGATCGCTCAGGTGCGTCAACACCCGACCGAATCAGGTTTAAAGCATTTCCTTACAGTGGCGTGAACGATTTCCTGATGTATTGTGAGTCGGGATATTTCTCCATCGGTGGTGGGGATGGGCACTATGGCCTGTGGTTGGACGACGACTTGAATAGTGGCATCAGCGAATCATGTCCTACGTTTGGTAACGAACCACTAAGCGAAGAAGGCCGACGATTTGAAGTCCTCGGCGTAGAGGTGTGGTATGTTGGTGCATGAGTATTGAGCTGTCGGCAGCGAATCAGACCGGTGCTCGGCTTTCCTCCGCTGGTTACTTGAGCTTGAGATCGGCTCCAACGAAGGCAGAGCCATTCCAGGTTGATACCTTTAGGTGTCGAACAAATATCTGATCCCAGGTCAACCTATAGTGGATCATTGAGAAGTGATCAGCGTCGCTGTTTGTTGAGCATACAGTGGTACACCGCGACACCCAACGGGACTTCCATTTGCGGCAAAGATACTGCTGGATGACGAATCTGGGGCAGATTATCGGTATGTGGCTGGAGCGACCCATGCTGAGTGAGCTGTCTTAACCTGCGTATTGATCTCGAAGCATGACTTGCATGATCTCTTCTGGGTAGGGTCTACAAGAAGTTAGCCGTGTGGAGCGCCGACAGCAGTCACCATACGTGATTACTTCAGCCGACCATACCAACGGAGTTGCTTGTTGGCTTTACCACGGCCGCGGCTGCTTTCAAGACTCCAGTCGAGCGAGGCCATGGCTTGTTGGCGCTACGAAACGCCTATCCCCAAATTTTTGATATCCCACACTCGTATCCTATCTGTGGAGTACAGGGTTTGGATTAGGTCAGTGGTTGCCTTGCTTTGGTAATGCTACCACGACATGCATCCCATGTCTTCCTTACTGAGACCAAGTCCTGAAAAGGAGAACGTGGTGTGCGTCTTTCGAGGCTTGGGGCCTCTAGATATTTGGGTTTTGCAACTCATTCGAGATGCACCGTCGGCTAAGCCCTTCACTGACCCAGTTTGCCTACGGTGGACACATGTGTGGCTCAAGGACAAGGGTCAGGCTCTACCTTTCATTTATAACAGCTTCTCCAATGTTTCTTCTCGTTCCTGAGTGCAAAACGTCCCTGACATTTCAAACGTGGCGATCGACTGTCTGTCGCTACGTGCATCGGACGCCACCGCAGGGACAGTTGTTGGTGGCATGTGGTTCCTCGCGTGTGTTCGTACTAGATATGGTCCGACATGGGAATTACTAGTTGAATGGTGTACGTACACTCCTGTGTACAGGGGGTGCCTGATATGTGTGTACGGTAAATATGCAGCCTGCACATGTTTGGGAAAGCCACAACGACGTCATAGCTCAGGTGTTGAGGTGCTAGGGCTGAAAGTACAGAGAGCAGGCGATGTGTGCGGGTCCGAATGAAAGCCTACTTGTGTTGTACCTCATACGATGGTATGGTACTATGGCAACGCTACGACCAGCAGTGGGAGCGAATGGCTAAACCAATAGCGGCCCGTCTTACACCTGCCCCATGAGGAAAGCCGGGCGATAACGGTGAAGCGATAGCTTGAATCCCCAAGGGAAATCAATTTCTGCGGAAGAATGGAGATGGTGGCAGGTAGGCCAGCAACTTGTTCAAAGGACTGCGGGCCTACATTATAGCTGTGGGCCAGCCTATGACGCAGGTAGTACGAGACACCTGTAACACTACTCAAAGGAGAAGCATAGTCAGCAAAAAAAAAAGCACGGACTGGGACCACTGGTGTGTGCAGCAAGAAACGGGAGTGGCAGAATATACCCCGGTCCCAAATCCACGTGGTAGTGGTTGTGGTTTGTGTTTGAGACTTCGCCATGATGGGACGGACGGGTAGCTATCTACAGTTGGGTTTGCGGGGGAGGCAAACGAGACAAGACGCCTTGTGGTTGAAGGTGAGCATAAACGACGGTGGCTTGACTAATGATACTGAATGTGTGCATATTTCCCAAAAAGGGGCATGGCGGCCGATTGGGCCTTTGGGCTTTTTTCTTTGCGCAGCGTATTAACCAAGAGAGGCCAACAGATGAAATCGATCATTTGATAGTCGACGGTACTAAACCAGGCGAGTCAAGAGAAAGAATATCTTAAAACGGGTAGTGGTGCGACCGATGATTTGAACAAGCGGCGCTGGGGTTAGTCATGATCATTCAAGCAACCAGACACCAAACGACCAGCAGAGCAAACAGGGGAAACAGGGGAAGCCGCTGCAAACGTGGTCAGCAAAGATTATCCGAGGCGCAAACGGAGTCGGACCAAACAATTGATCCAACATTCCTCCGGGTCGGGATCCCTCCGCATGGACACGAATGAGAGCGGCCGCTTCTTGTTTGTTCATCCTGGCTAAAGCTGGAACATGATTATCCTGGACAATGGACAAGCGGGAAACTCAACCAGGGCTCTTAACCTTTTGACCAGCGGGTAACCTTGAAGGCCCGAAGAGCCTGGGTAGAGATAAGGTATTGGGATAGCAAAAGAGCGAGCGCTTGGTAAAGAATGAAGGGAGATTTCGATAATTCCGCCGTGGCTGGTGGGTGCCTTAGAAAGCAAAGTTGCAGAAGGAAAAAAAGAAATCAAAAGACGATATTATTTCATCGCGGAATTCAAATTATCTTACCGGGAAAATTCAAGCCATACGACCATTACATGCCAAGTCGTATCGATCCCGCGTATACGACTCTAGATACCAGAAAACTAATCATGAGAGGCATTATTGCAGCGCTCTTCTTCCCCCCCCCCTTCGTGACCCAGTTTGCGTCTTTTTTTTGATCGTCTTCGGCCTTGCGATGGTTCGGAGGAAATTCGCACATTATATTTCCCTCTGCTCAAGCCGTCAACTAGCAACAGGACTGTTCTCCGTATACAAAGTAAGAACCACCATCGGCTTGGTATAGAAGTCCTCATGACGTATCTGGTCAATGGCCGCCCCTCCCACAGAAAGAAGTAAAGATTGCGAACTGGGGATCAAAGCTGCGGTGTGATCGACTCAGCCCGGGTCCAGTAGATGAGGCTATTGGTTCGGTGCACACATAATCGCATCCTTGGACCAAAGCGGAAGTCGTGCACAGGCCAGAGAGGCGGCCTCGCCTCTTCGCTCTTTTTGTCGCGCCTAAGGTTACTCTGACCTGGCTTGCTGAGGGGGTGGACTGGATGCCGAGTCCCGGGAAATGGGCAATTGTTTTCCTGTTGGCTTTGCTTTTGCCAGGGCGTACTTCTCTTTCAGAATATTCCGAAGTCCGGGATACATGGTTATGCGTAGATGAGGCGAGCGGGGGAAGACACTATGTAAATGGAGAAAGAGCTAATAATGGGAGATCGGGGCTTCGGTCAATGGGTAATTTAGTACGAGTAGTGAAGGCGTATGCACCGATATGTGCCAGTTGTTCATCCAGCACAGGGTCCAAGTCGTACCTCGCCGTAATCGTAATGGGAAATTTCAGGGTTTTTTTCCCAGGTTCCAGGTTGTGCAGGTTGTGGTAGGCTCGGTGCTCAGGAGTGCCCACGGTGCCCTAGGTAGCCTAGAGCGCGAGTAGTAGGGTGTCCCCTCGGTCGGTCGGCGCCCAGGAGC